AATAAACCAATTTGGCCAAATTGGCAACCTTAAACACCCCATAACTTCACGTACTTTTTTAAATTTGAGCGCAGGACAACAACTCCTTCAGGATGATTTTGCTAATTTATAAAAATTAAATCAAAATAGCTAGTTAAAAATTGATTTTTGTCCGAATAAAAAAAACCACCTGAACACAAATATTCCGTCACTTTTTCGAAAGTCGGAACAAAAACTCTAATCGAGCAGTTGTTTAATTGCTCTTGATCTTAATTTAGGGATAAATGTAGCAACAAAGCCATTACGAGGCCAAAATGTGCATTATGTGCATTGTAAGCGGATTCCGCAACAAGTCAAAATCAGATTTGTCGGAGAATCCGCACTTTTGCTAGTTTTCTTGGATCTTCTTTGCTAGGATTCTACAAACAAATACCTAAAACACTGTGCTCGCGCTCAATTTGTCCTCGTAATGGTAGAAATTATTGTGACAACAAAAACCCTAATTTTATCGGAATTCGGCGTGTTTGAAGGTATCTGAGATTGATCAAGGCGCGATTTGTTACGAAAATTTACTTAGTAATTAAAATGGCACAAAATTTTTTAAAATATTTAACAGGGGTTTTAAGACTAATGAGACTATTGGAGACAAAAACTAAAATTTGCAACATAATTTTTAATTTTGAGCCAGGAACAAAACGATTGTTTGTGTGAACATCCTACAAAAAAAAGAATTGACCTTTCATCCAGCATACAACAACAATAAACATAATTTTATCTGAGTGCGGCGTGTTTGAAGGTTTCTGAGATTGATCAAGGGGCGATTTGTTACGAACTCTTACTTAGTAATTAAAATGGCAGGAAACTTTTTTTAAATAAGTTAAAAGGGGTTTTAAGACTACAATGAGACTATTGGAGAAAAAAAAGTAAAATTTGAGACATAATTTTTAATCTTGAACCATGAGCAAAACGATTATTTGAGTAAACATCTTACAAAAAAGGAATTGGCCATTAATCCGGCATACAAAATAATTGATACAAATCGTCAGTTTCAACTAAAAACAGACAAATTACCACCAAATTCCAGCTCCCATTTGCTCCAATGTGAAACGGAGCTTAATTCTAAATTGGATTGCTCTGCTGCAAAAAGAAAAGAAAGGGTTATTTAATTACTCATATGTGAAAGCGTTCCTGCAGACTGAGGTATTAAATGAAAACAGTTATGTCAGTTTTTTGTTTTTTTAACCTAAGTTATGTCCAGTGTCTATTGAGAAAAAATTTGCTGCTAACAAAAATAACCTAAGCTTTTCTGCTCTTTCTGAAATTTCTTGAAAAAAAATTTGTGAGAGCACATTCAAATCAAGAGAACATTTTACAAAATTGTTTTAAAATCAAAGTGCGCTCGTTCAAATTTTCGACCAGTTGCCTTTGTTCAACGCCCGACACGTGTTGGTCTGTTAAATATAATCAGTCTTCCATTTTAGCTGCACTTTACTTGGAAGAACAGAAATCACTGGAAAAAAATTGCCATTAAGTTAATCCCAATTTTTGGGATTGCAAATAGTGGATCAACTCAAGCGTTGATCACTGCAAATTTATCATAAAAAAAACGCACTTTGTTAAAATCTTTGACCCTCTGCTGCTCGGTCACTAATTGATAAATGAGGAAAAAGCAGCTATATCGAATATTCAGAGCCGTTATATTTTAAGAGTTTTATTCAAGGTTAAATTGTAGAAGAAACATGCTAGAAACTTCATATGGTATTATTGTAGTGCGTTTACAAGAATATAATATGATTAGAGATGACTGAGCAGAACAAGACCCCTAGTATCAGGCGAATTACATTTATTTGACGCCCAGCTGACCCAAAGGCTCCCCCGTTTGTACTGTCTTGGGGTATTCATTTTTGGCTGAAGGAGTTTTAATTATTTCTAAAGGTGCCAATATTTCGGGCAAACTCGGGCAAAAAAAACGCGATTGTTTTTGGTCAAAAAGTTGCAAAAAATGCATAAAAATGCATGTTTGGCCTATTTGTTCAAAATTTTGCATGCGGCGTAGAAAATTTTGCCAAAAAAACGAGAAAATCCTAGATCCACCCCTGCCTCAAATCAATATGGAAAGATTTACAAGACTGATTCAAAATCCGCTTACAGACTAATCGAATGAAATCTATATCGCGCGTTAAAGAAACCAATTTGCCCAAATTGGCAACCTTAAACCCCCCATAACTTCACGTACCTTTTTAAATTTGAGCGCAGGACAACAACTCTTTTAGGATGATTTTGCTTATTCATAAAAATTAAACCAAAATAGCTAGTTAAAATTTCATTTTTGTCCGAATAAATAACCGCCTGAAGACAAATATTCCGTCACTTTTTTCGATAGTCGGAACAAAAATTCTAAGCGAGCAGTTGTTTAATTGCTCTTGATCTTAATTTAGGGATAAATGTAGCAACAAAGCCATTACGAGACCAAAATGTGGATTCTGTGCATTTTAAGCGGATTCCGCAACAAGTCAAAATCAGAATTGTCGGAGAATCCGTAACTTTGCTAGTTTTCTTTGATCTTCTTTGCTTGGATTCTACAAACAAATATCTAAAACACTGTGCCGCTCAAAATTGCTCCAAAAATAGGCCATTTGACGGAATCCGCAACCGTATTTGCGGAATCCCGAACAGTTTGTGGAATCCAAAAACAAATATTAAAACAGTTTAATTGGTTTTTTAGACGATAGCGCTCAAAATCTTGCTTCATAATGTGCGGTTTGAGCGGTTTTGGAGCGGTTTTACTTTGCTTTACTATAGCTTTACTTTGCAAAAAAGTAAAATTCAAAAAAGCCGAAAAACTAACCTATGGACGTCAAAAGGTAATCAAACATTCAAGTCTGCGGCCTAATGCAGTTTTATTTTCTTTAGCACTTTTACCTCTCTGTTTTATTTTGCCCGATGCAAATACTTTTCTTGAACCCAGTGTATTTGTCAAATTTTATTGCAGAATCACTTGGTTCTACTTAGCAAGATAGGATCATTTTTCGTAAATTGCTCAACAAAAACTCAAACTAATAGGCTTAACGTGGAATTTACCGCATTACGAGGCCAAACTGTGCATTCTGTGCTTTGTTAGCAGATATTTCAACAGGCCAAAATCGGATTTGTCGCAAAATCCGCAAGTTTACTACTTTTCTTTGATCTTATTCGCTTTTTTGGATTCCACAAACAAATACCTAAAACACTGTACCGCTCAAAATTGCGCCGAAAAAAGGCGATTTTGCGGAATCCCCAACCGTACTTGCGGATTCCAGAACAGTTTGTGGAATCAACAAACAAATAATAAAACATTTGTATAGCTAAATTGAGCTGTTGCGGATTACGCAACTGTAAACGGAATCCGCAAATTGTAAGTGGAATCCGCAAATTGTAAGAGGAATCCGCATTTTGTTTAGGGATTCCGTTTACATATATGTATATGTGAAGTTTAACGTTTAAAATTTTATCTTTTAATTACTGGTCACCAGAAAAAAATCAATCTCAATTACTACCTAGATCAGTTACCAGTTGAAATGCCAAAAGTTTGGTCGCAATTCCTGTCAACCCAAATTCTATCTCAAATCCTGTCAACTTCGATCTCAATACACTAGAATCGGAATCTACTAGATCACCAGTATTTGGGATTATTGGAATCCCAAATACTGACCAATATTCGGGATTTATGCAATCCCAAATACTGATCTAATTCGGCGATAAGCTGTGCGTTGTGTTTTGACACACTTACAAGCCAATGACTACAAATATTGAATTTATTCGGCGTTAAGCATCCAAAATCAGTATTTGGGATTTACGCAATCCCAAATACTGACCTAATTTGGCGATATGCTGTGTGTTGTATTTCTATACACTCTCAACCCAATGACTCCAACTTTTGAACTTATTCGGTGCTGTGTTTTCAAAATACTAAAAGGTGACATCCGCCGATTTAGGTAAAAATGTTTGTTCGTGGATTCCGCTGACAATGATTAAATCTTTGGCTTTAAATTCCGCGTTGCTAGAGATAAGAATTCCAGCTCTAGCTTTTAATTGTTCAGATACAATTTCAGCATTGAACAAATTTCGGAATCCACTTACAGTTTGCGGAATCCGCTTATATTTGCGGATTTCGCTTACAAATTTTGCGGTTTCTACGTACATTTGCGGATTCCACTTACATTTTGTGGAATCCATTTACAGTTGCGGAATGCAGAACAACTAGCTGAATCCGCTTGTTGCGGAATCCGCGGCACAACAAATAAGCCGACAAAGCTTACAATACAGGTATTTATACGCTGAACCCACGGAAGTTTTGTAATTGGAGTCCACTTACATTTTGGAACATCTTTAAAGGTTTGCGTATGGAATCCAGGAACATACATACACAAAATTGTGCGCCTATCCAGTGCACTGTTTGGCCTCGTAATGGCCATAGGAGAAAATATGTGACTTCCTATATGTGACTGACTCAATTTTCGCAAGTTATGGAAGACCACACGTTTGCTACTTCATGGACCGCAATTACAAGCACTCTATGCGAGCATTTTTTGCCATGGTCTCTTGTGCCTTTGAGTCACCGTAATCATAGCATTGCATATTAACAAGGTTATACGGCTGACGTGCGGTAAAACTGAAAGTCACCAGCTTTGAGATAAATATCAAAGTCATTCGAGATACAAGACAAGCCTTGAAAATTGCACTGAATTTGGAATGCGAGTCCAATTACTAATTACGAATATGCATGAAAGACCCACTTGCAATTCTTTAGCCGGAACAGTTAACTCGGAAAAGCAGAAGAGTCCACGTAATAATTTTTCTCAAGTGGTTATTAAATTTCATAAACCAAACAAAACATAAACCAAACAAAAATAAAGATAGATAACTCGATCACGTCATCATGGGTTTTGTTCCGACCTCGTAGTGGTGGTGGGGGGATTAAGATTTGGGCGGGTTTTTCGGGGGTTATAGAAACGGACAAAATATTTGAAATAGGAACTTACGTCAGTAGCTGCCACATATCCATTGGTGGCAATCTCCATCCAGTTTATGGGCATGAGGATGGCACAGTATCCATATATGGCAAACGAGAACACCAGGAACAGGTCACTCGCACAATGATGGGCCCCGTTGCCCAACAACACTTCCAGCTGCTCACTGTTACCCGCCAGTTGTCGCAACACAATATTCCCCAAAGTGTAGTACACATTTATGAGCCCAAAAATGGCCCAAGCAGAGTAAATTATGATGTGAAAAATGTAGAAGTCGATGCGGAAAGTCTGCGAGTTTTTGTAAACGGTTAACTCTACATAAGTTTTGACCACAAGTCGAATTGAAACTGGAGTTATTACAAGATAGAGAATAAGTTGGACTATATCAAAAGCTATACCTTGGGATTGCGTCATAATCATCAAAAAAATATGTAAAATTCTGAAAAAAAAATTTAAATTTAAGTAACTTGGGAAGAAATCTTTCAAGAATCAGAAATTTGAATTTTTTGAATTTTTTGTTATTGTTTTCATAATAAAATAGATTGTAAATTTGAAGAAAAAATGGAACAAATAAAATGGTTGTATAAAATTATTTCAATTAAAGAATCGTTCGTCAGTTGTTATATTTGGCATTTATAATTGTTTATCTGACTTCGTTTTCCCATTTAGTTTTACTTTTTAGTTTTGACATTTTAACTAAAACGCCCGTTGCAAGGAGCTCAAATGGACTGACAATAATAAGAAAATAAGATGGTTCTGGGCGCCGGCGTCTATTGAGTAGTCAAGGAAAAAAATGCACAAAAAAGTAAACGAAGATTAAAAATCCATTTGCATTTTCCTGCTTTCTTTAAAGGAAATGAAAGCAGCCGTAGATTTTACATTTTCACATCAAAACACATTTTAGTTGCTTTTTTGAAAAGTATGCTGAGCCGTTTCCTGTTTTTCGTTTACTTCTGAGCAAATGAAACGAGTAGTGGGCTTTCATAACGGTTTATTTAACTCGCAACGCTTTTTTGAAGTTTTTCCCTCAGAAGCAGCCGTATGATAAAACACGACCACTTAGCTCTTAGAAGAGACAATTTCGTTTTGTTTTTTTTTCAGAGGCAAAAGAGAGCCAAAGTTTTGTAAGTCTTTTTAGGTTGGCTAAGTAGTTTCGTGTCTTATCATTAGCAAATTAATTTTATCGAAAAAAAAATTTGCAGTATTTTGCCAACTGATAGCAATTGAATGAATAGTGTCAATTTTGATGACCATTGCATTGTATATTTTTGATACCCATTTAGTGCAAAGAGTTCTTCGAAACGGGGTTGGCCAAAAGGGAGTAGTTTGAGATCTAAATTGAACGCAAACAGGTTTCTTTTATCTATTTTTTTGTTTCTTTCTTCGAAAAAAGCACAAACGTTTGTCTTTTTTTGTACATTTTAGCCATTGGCCATTTTTCAGAGATTTCAACTTTTTTAAGCTATTTTTGGCTTCAAAGGACGATTTAAAAGCCAAATAATTTCTTCAAAAATTGCCGTACCAGTTTTTGTACCGCTTAGATTTTTATCAAATGACTCGTCTACAAAACCTTGCTTTGAGAATGAAACTTTTGTTCCACATTTTTCTGAACGTAAACAACGTATTACTTTAAGTAGAAGAGAAAGCGATTTCTTAATATAATTATTTTATAAGCTTAGACCGATTTGCAAAACAAAATTGTTCAACTTTCACGTTTTGAAAAAAATTGATGTAAATTTGCTTAATTAATGAAGAAATTTAACAAATCTGCTACGCTTAAGTTATGAAAATTAACAGCTAAATAAAAAAACTTAAAACTGCTGACTTCTTTTTTTTTCTGATTTTTGTGTCGATGTTTTATGAAAATTCCATAATATTTGTGCTCAATATGGTTTTTTTTTCTCCAGACCAATTTCGACTTTTTAACTAGCTAATTTTGAACAAAAAAACTTATAGAATACAAAAAATATTGAGAATCCGCTCGTAAGCTGTTTCAAACTGAATTAAGGCAAAAAAATTTATGATTTTATTACATTACCATACATTGTTCTTCGCATAGCATGTGCAGTGAAGTTTTCCAAAAAAAGTTACAAAAACTCCAATTTCTATTTTGAAATTTGGATATTTTTTTCCAATTAATGTTTTCAAAAACTGTGTCAAAAACGTTGATAGACAGTCGAAACCATCAGGGTTTTTGAAACTTTTATATATTTTTTTCCAATTGATTTTTTCAAAAATTGTTTCAAAGATGTTAAAAGGCAGTCGGAACGTTCAGGGAACGACCAAGCGAAAGAAAAACTAAATTTATGTAGTCAAGCGTTCCAAAAAAGAATTGTTGTTTTTATTTGGCTTGCTGTGCCAAAAAGTTGTTGGGTTGAAATGGGTTTTATGTGTTGCTTCGCAAGAGCTGGTATTGTTTGTCATTGAAATGGGGTTCAAATGTTATTCGCAAAAGCTGGTATTGTATGTTTTGCGGAAAATTGCCCTATGTAGATCTGCGCCTGCTTGCGATAACTTTAGTAAAACGAATATTGAAGAAATCCTCTTTGGAATTATAGCGTATGTGGCAAAACAGTCCGAATCAAACACAATTCTAATTGAATTGAAGAATACTAATTGCGCCAATTACTTTGATGTTAGAATCAATATAAATTATTTAGCTGTGGTTTACGTTAGCTGTAGCAGAAAGTCCGTTTTTCATCAGTTTTTCACCGTAACCTACCTTAAACTCCATCAAAGGCAGTCGCAAAATGTTTCAATCAATTTTGAAATCTCATTATAATTCTAGCTTTGAAAGCCGTGAGAGGAGAAATTCCACTGATTATAGAATTTTTAGTTTTGTGCAATGATAATTGCGGTATGAACATTCTATTCTTTTTGCACAGTAACCCAAACAAAACTATCATGAAAGCCACACTGGATCGTCGACGAATAAAGTTTATATTGTCACTGATACACTCCTCAAACATAAACAAGACTGCTCGTATCAGGGCGAAGCCCTGAAGGTTCCGACTGCCTTTTAACGTTTATAGAGCAGTAATAACAAAAACAACATAAAAAAAAATGAATGAAATAAAATAAAATGAAAACCTTATTTTTCTAAAATTTGAAATTTTTTTGAAAGAAAATCATCCCCCCACTCGCCATATAAAGTACAAAACAATAAATTTCGCTTCTAGCAACAATTCAGTTCAAATTTTTTGAGCATTTTTTGGTATTATAACCATTGTTTGTTTCCAAAAAAAAAACTCCGACAAAATTTTTTTTATTTCTGCAAAAAATGATTTCTCCGAACCAAACAATTGCGAACAATGATTTTTGACTGTTAAAAAACTACAAATAACTACAAATTTGCAAAAATCGAAACTACTACACCGAGGTCACAAAGCATAACACTTTTTTGAAGCTTTGTTTTATACGTTGAAAGATAACAAAAGATATACAAAACTGCTCGTATCAGGACAAAGTCCTGAATTTACGGACTGCCTTTTAAGGTCTATGGAGAAGTAATTATAAATGTTGAATTTAATAAAAAACAAAATGAATTTTGTTTTCAAATTTGAGATTTATTTTGTGAAAATTATCCCCCCGCACGCCATATAAAGTACAAAGTGATAATTTTTGCTCGTTTTAATATATCAATTACAGCAAATAATCTGGCAAATAAGCTTCTTTCAACCAATTTGGAACGATTTCTAAGACGGAATAAATCTCCGCTTACGCGTTAATAGCGCGAATTATATCGCGCCTTAATTGTCCTAAATTGGTCAAAATGGAAACCTTTAAACCCTCATAACCTTACAAAAAATGATCACAGGTGAAATATTTTTTCAAATATAAGCTCAGGACTACAATAGCTTTCGAATGATATTAAAAAAATTTGTCAAAAATGGCTAGTTAAAAAGTCGAAATTTGTCTGAAGAAAAAAAACCCACCCCGAGCACAAATTTTCCGTTACTTTCGTATCGAAAGTCGGAACAAAAAGTGACGCGGAAATTTTTTCACATTTTTTGATTTCAAGGAGTCGATTTTTTCAATGAGACTTAAAAAACTTTGTTAGAAATTATTATTTTGATCGCCGAAAATTGACTGAAACAAAAACACCACAAGCAGAAATATTCCATTTTTTTTGAAAGTTGGGACAATTAAATCAATACAAACTTAATTGATTCACACTAATTGGTCCTGTTAGTACTATACGAAATACCAAATACAACATCTTTTATCATCTTGTATGCAGTGAGTCGAATAAAACGTGAATCATTGCTTGATTTTGAATATTTTATCAGTTTTTAAGCAAATTTTTTTCATCGGCGTCACAACGCAGTCAGGACATCAGGGTTTTGCCTTAAAATTCGAATATCTTGGTCATAAAGAACGGCTGTTCTCAGTTGTTTTTGAGGAAAGAATGTATGAGAACCTTAACGTTGAGGTGGCGCTTTGTAACATAACTGCAATTGTTGCTTTCATCTCATAAAACTGGGTTTCGCATCACAAATTGTTCTGAATTTTAAAAGATATTTATATTGAATTTTTCGCAGGCCAAACTGTTGAAGGAGATAAAAGTTTTGAAAAAATTTTAGGCCATTTTTCATGAGCTACTATAAATCACTCAACAAGACTGCTTGTAACCCCTGAGAGTTCCTAACGCACTTAACAGCCAGGTAAAAATGTTGACTGAAAACATTTATAAAATAATCTTGTTTTTTATGCCTCAATATTTTTGTGAAGTAAGAAATTTACAATTTATGTCTTGTAATCTAACAAAGAGACCAAATGATTTGTGTCATTTCATTAAACTGATATTCCAAAAATTATGACGTAAAAACTCTGATTTTTTTGAAAGTTGGAACAAGAAGGCTGTTGAGCAAAATCCCCTTGATACTCAATCAATATTTATTTGTTTACTTTTTGATTAAGCCCCCCATTATATCTGGGCTTGCTTGAATTAATTTTTGTAAAACTAGGAGCTTTTGGTTGAAGAATGCCAATTTGTAATTGTAGCGCATGAGGCAAAAAGGTCAGACAACAGTGCCGAAGTACAAAAATACCAAAAAAATGTTAATCAACCGTGCCGAAATTGACTTTGAATTCTGTTTTAACTGATCCCCAATCACTGACAAGTAATTTAATTTAAATCAACGGAAGATGAAAAGTGAAAAATGGCCATTTTAATGGGGCAGTACAACAGTGCCGAAGTACAACAGTGCCGAAAATGAAAACTTTGTTCAGCAGTGCCGAAAATTTGAATAAATTTCAACATATTAAGAGAGGCAATCAAAAATTAAACAGCGATCGCTTACAATATTAAGTGACACAGACGTTTTGGCAACCTATGCGTTTTGGCGCCAAAATAATTGTTTAATTTGCAGTTGCAGACATATTGGCGCCAAAATTGGAGTTATTTTCTTTGATAATTAGCGTCAGTAACTTCCCGCTTTTTAGATATTGCGTGTAAATTATTCTGAAATTTTCCCGCCTTTTTCGGCACTGTTGTACTTCGTCACTGTTGAACGCCCCCATTTTAACTGATGCTGCTTGATCAGTAAACAAAAGTTCTTTAAGCACGGCATCATAATCTTTTCTGAACAAACAATTATCTCAGCAAATTGTCAAATTTTGTTCTCCGTTTTGCTCCAAAAAAAACGCAGCATCTAAGCAACCTGTCAGAAATTCGCCAGCAGTACTCAATTTTTTCAAACATACTCAACTTTCGGCACTGTTTGACACATTTTTAGCTTGGGCACTGTTGTACTACGGCACTTTTTAATGCCCTATTTTTGATTGCCTCACTTGATATGTTGAAATTTATTCAAATTATCGGCACTGTTGAACAAAATTTTCATTTTCGGTACTGTTGAACTAATTTTTTTTTTCTGCACTGTTGTACTTCGGCACTGTTGTACTGCCCCCTTTAAACTGCTTCGAATGCAGTCGCAAACTGTTTCGAACAAATTTGAAATCTAATTTTAATTCTAGTCTTGAAAGCCGTGAGATGAGAAATGTGCTATGATAACTGTGGTCTGAACATTCTCTTCTACTTGCAAAGCAATCCAATCAAATTATCATAAAAGCAATACTGGACCGCGACGAATAAGTAATGTATTGTCAATAATACTCCTAAAGCATAAAAAGGAGATGCTTTATATTTGTTCCGACTTTCGATACGAAAGTAATGGAATATTTGTGCTCGGGGTGGGTTTTTTTTTCTTCAGACAAATTTCGACTTTTTATCTAGCCATTTTTGACGGAATTTTTTTATATCATTCGAAAGCTATTGTTGTCCTGAGCTTATATTTGAAAAGATATTTCACCTGTGATCATTTTTCGTGTTGTTATGAGGGTTTAAAGATTGCCATTTTGGCCATTTTGATCAATTTGGGACAATTAACGCGCGATATAATTCGCGCTATTAACGCGCAAGCGGAAATTTAATCCGTCTTAGAAATCGTTCCAAATTAGTTGGAAGAAGCTTATTTGCCATAATTGATTTGTTACAAGGAGCGAAATCTATCCTTTTGTACTTTATATGGCGCGTGGGGGGATGATTTTCATAAAAAAATTTCAAATTTTAGAAATTTTATTTTCATTTTTATTACATTTTATTAAACATTAAAAGGCAGTCGGAACATTCAGGGCTTCGCCCTGATACGAGCAGTCTTGTTTTGATTTCACGTCATTTACACCTAATGGATAATTATGCGCTTCGCAAGAAGCTCTGGTCTGTATTCCGTGCACAATAAACGAAATTGAAGTTAGGAAATGCAGAAGTAGTATGTGGGGTTTGGGTGCAATAGATTGCAATTTTCAACCGTCAACCTGGGATAAACCTATTTTTGCTTCCCATTTTGCCTGCAGTTTTCATCGAATAGCCTGACAGTTTTTGAACAATTTTTCACTACTCGTTTTGTCACTAAAGTGGCAATGTCTTCTTGACGTTGCGCAACTGCTATCCTTAACCTCACACAACTGATATCATCACAAACGCCTTTTTATTCCGACTTTCCGGAATATTCGTGCTTGGGATGGTTTTTTATTCAGTCAGGTTTCAATTATCTAAGTAAGCACTTTTGACGGAACTTTTATATACTTTTTGAAGTATATAGTTGCTCTGAGTTAAATTAAAAACAAAAACATTTGTAATCACTTTTTGTAAAGTTAGGAGGGTTTGACAATTGCCAATCCAGTCAGTTTGAGACAATTAACAAGCGATATATTGTGCTCGTATAACACGTCTGAATAATGAATTAAATCAACACAAATTGAATAGAGGCGCACTCCTTGCTCCTGTTAGCACTATGCGAGACGCTAAATGCATCTTTTTGTTCCGAATTTTGAAGAAAAAGAGGAAATATTTGTGCTAGGGGTGTTTTTTTTTCTTCTGACAATTTTGACTTTTTATCGAGGAAATTATGACAAAATCTTTTTATCTGACAAAAAACAATAAAACTCTGAACTCAATATGAAAAAAGTATTTTACTTGTGATTGTTTTCTGTAAAGCTACGAGGGCTTAAGGATTGGAAATATGGCCAATTTTCGACAATAAACGCGCAATTTTTTTCGCGAAATTTTTTTCGCGAAATTGAGCGGAGGCTTAATGCCTTTTAGGAAACTTTTCAAATTGGATGAAGCAGGCTATTTGACATACATTATATGTTACTAGGAGAGATATCTATGACTTTGTCCTTTATATGGCATGTAGGAGGATGACTTTTAAAAACTATCTCAATTTTTTTTTTAAAAGTCCTGATTTTTGTTAAAGCAAACACTGCTTCGTAGACCTCAAAAAGCAGTCGGAACTTTCAGGGCTTTGCCTTGTGGGCTGAGCAGTCTTTTTATACATTTTCAAGAATTTTTTTTTTCATCGGCGTCAAAGTGAAGTCAGAATATTAGGGTTTCGCGTTGATATTCAAATATCCTTGTCATAAATAGCGACCGTCCTCAGTTGTTTTTGAAAACGAATGCGCGAAAACAATGTTGAGGTGGGGTTTTGACACAGAACTGAAATCACTGCTTTGGTCACATATAAATGGGTTTCGCAAGATTAATTGTTCTGAGTTTTTATAATAAGCCAAAAAAGAAAACAGAACATTAATTTCCGCAGGCCAATTTTGTTGAAGGAAATATTAGTTTTTAAAGAATTTTATGCCGTTTTTCAGTAGGTACTACAAATCACACAAAAAGACTACTCGTATACATATATTTTTCAACATTGCTAACATATATTTTTTCAATAAAAACTTCAAATCAATGTTCCTAATGCACTTTAAGGCCCAATAAAAAAAATGTTGGCTGAAAGATTGATGAATCAATCTTGTTTTTTTATCCTTTCTCTCAAAAAAAAACAATTGAAGGTGATTTTTTTAGAAATGTTTTACACAAAATTTTAACTGTGTAAAAAATTTATATCCAAAGCGCGTAGTTAAAAAGTCAAAAATTCACTGAAACAAAAAACCGCAACAAAGCATAAATATTCTGACTTTTTTCGAAAGTTGAAACAATAAAGTTATGGAACAAAATTCCCTTGGTTTTGAATCAATATTTCTCTTTTTACTTTTTGATTTATTAGCTATGTCGGTACCTTGTTGTTGCCTTACATGCGCTATGAAATATTCACATAAATAATATTCTTTTCAATTCGTATACCTGAAGTAGGGGCGCCAGCAGAAGAAACGAAGGGTACAAAAGCAGCACAAGTCCATCAGCAAAACTACCAAATCTGATTAGCCAAACAAGGGATTAATTTGTAAATTAAAGTGTAATTTTAACAATTCACTGACGCTCATTAAGTAGATTTTTATTTAAATATAAAGTTTTTCGTTCGGCCTAAAATCAATCGGGCTCGTCTTTTCGATATACTTAAAGATTAAAATCGGCTGGTCTTAGCGGGAAACGGACTTAGTATGACATGTTTCAGAGAACTGGCAATCACGGAAAACATTTATTAGCGGGGGAAAAATAGTCTCCTAATTACATCTTCGGCCAATTGATAAATTAGTTCTGCTCTCAAGCGCATTCGCTTCCTGGACAAATCTGATATCGGTGGGATTGCATTTTCCTGGAAGTTGAAAAAAAAATCAAAAAAAATGGGGAAAAAAATCTAATCTATAAGGTCGTTTATCAGAGCAAAATCCTGAACGTTCTAACTGTCCTTTATAGAGTTTATGATTGTTTATGTTAACAATTTTTGTGAAGCTAAAATTTATAATTTTAATTTTTTAAAAATTTTTCACTCGCAGCGACCAAGATCAAAAAGTAGATATCATATATTGAATCCTAAAAGAATACAGAAGATTGTTTAGCTTGCTTTAATTCCAATTGGAATGGTTTTGGGTGCGCAACGCTTTCAGCAGCATGGATAAAGGATTATAAACTTCAAAATTTATTCAAAAAAAATATTGACCGTATCAGGAGGAAGCTTTTTAAGGTCTATGGAGCAGTAATAACAAGAAAAAATTGAATGTATTAAAACAAAAATTAAAAAAAAAATTAAAAAAATTGAGATTTTTTGTGAAAACTATGCACCCTCATGCCATATAAAGTACAGAGTGATAGCTTTCGCTCCTAGTAACAATTATTAATGGCAAATAAGCTTCCTTCAACGAATTTGTGGCGATCTCTAGGACGGATAAAATCTACGCCTACACGTTAAAAGCGCGCAACATCGCGCGTTAATTATCAAAAATTGAAAGAAAAAAAAGGCAATCTTTAAACCCCCATAACATTACAAAAAATGATCACAGGCAAAAGACTTTTTCAAATATGAGCTCGAGAAAACATTACCTTCTGAATGATATTTAAAAAGTTCCGTCAAAATGGCTAATTAAAAAGTCGAAAATTTTCTGGAGGAAAAAAAACACCCCGAGCACAAATATGCGTACTTTCGTTACGAAAGTCGGAACAATAATCAAAATAGCAATTTTTAGGCTCCAGTTTAATATCAGAAATGATTGCCATCGGGAACGATTTTTGAATTGGTTAAAATTGTTTCGAGGAGGCGGATTTTCAAAAAGTTAATAGAATACTTTCCAACTTTTCTTAAGTTGGCCAAATTTTTTTCTGTGCTTTCTCAAATTACTATAATTATCATACTTTGCCATACTTTTCTGTACCATAGTTTCGACCAAAAAATTGCTTTAATCGGCGCTCGTTCCCCGCTCAAATGTAGTATATGTTAGCGCCCAAGTCGCGCCAATTAGAAAAATTTGAAGGTCGGTCAGCTGAAAATGAGTGTCGTAAAATAGTAACAAAGGGGGACTTTTTGGATCGCGAGGTGACGAACTGCTAAAGTGGGCGTCTCCCCCACCCCTGAATCTGCCGCTGATCACCAGCGAAATATTTCTTTGAATTTGATCTAGGGGTGTCAATATATCTCCAAAGCATTAATATTTTTCGTTGAAAATTTATTTCGTTTTCCTAAATTGGTCTGAATAAAAAACACCCCAAGCATAATTATTCCGTTACTTTCTTGGAAAATAGGAACAATAAGTGGTGCGGAATTTTCCCATGGCAGCTTTTTGACTAAATTTTGAGGTAGGTGTCAGTTTTGTCCAAGCTTGTTTATAAACTATCTGACCATTTCTTTTCAACTTACATTATCTTTGTTTAGTTTTAGTCGATCAAAGTCTCGCAGCTCTTAAAGACGACCTGATTGGCTAATTAGACAGCGATAGTATTGGTAAGTTCTCAGGTGGTTAGTAAAAACTACAAAGCAATTCAATACAAATAATATAAATTTGACAAACACCCTTAGGTGTGTCTTTAGTTCTTACCACCTAGCCGTCATTTACTGGTCAAAAAATAATTTCGAAGTAATTTTTTTCCAGTTATTTTTGCAAATTTAATCCTTCGTATGGCAAAAATTAAGCTTTCGTGCTAGCGCTATGCATAGCAACAGTTCTCTTTTAACAAATTTTAAGAAAAAGTAGTTCTTTTGCGCATTGAATGCGACTTGGTGCTTCAAAAAACACCGAAGATGATAGCTTCAAAAGTTTCATCTTATGCTTTATTTTCTATTTTTTGGTTTATTTCTTCACCTGCTATAGCCAAAAATCAGCAGTATCCAGATGTCAACAGCTCAAAGTTTTTGCAAATCGAAGAACTTTTGAAGCAAACAGCATCTACTTTATCTGATAATTTCAAAATTTGGTCTTCAGATTTATCAAATCCTGCAAGCCACTTGTTGCAATCTAATTTATTTAACTGTAGCTTCATAGATAGTTACAATCTGGAAAACGTTATTCCAAATGACGAGGCTTTAGCATCAAATAAAAATTACTTTCTTTCGAAACAACATTCCTCGGTAATTTATCCAGAGAGTTTGGTGTCAGTTTTCGGAAAACATTTGAACTTCTCTGGATATTCACACTTCAGCGTTTTTCCGGTGAGTAGATTTTTAAAACAGAGATAATGTCGATGATCTGTGTTTTTGTAGCGTAGCATGATATCAGATGGGTTCGTGGTGGTGGCAAAAAAAGGGAATTTAACTTTTTTACCTAAATTTGAGTTTTGCCAGAAAATAACTAGATTAGGAGTTACTGGTTTTCATTCCATTAACTCAAATATAACTGGTTAATATAAACTCAAGTGTTAACCATTGCAGTGTTTGGGGGTGCAGACACTATTTGACACCAGTTTTTCAAAGATTCGCCTGGGGCGCATAAAAATTTGTCATAGTAAGGTTTTATGTGTCTTTTGAGAACGCTCGTAGAATAGTTTTGATCGGTTTAAAGTCAGTGATCTTGGCTTTTCTTAAAAAAACCTTCTAACCCCTGAAAATCCTAGATAAACCAATTTTTGAGAGCCAGAAAAAAACAGCAATACTAACTTTTAACAGATTAATTGCAGCATGAAGTTAAAGTTTTTTCTTATCTGGAGATAGATTTTTTGATCTGAGAAACCAACCATTTTCAGTGAAAAACTGCAATCACCCCTTCTACTGTGCAGCGAAAATATTTGTCTTAAGACACATCATTTTATTGATCAATCAATCTTTCAAGGCGTGAAATTTTTATTTTCACAAACAACATTTTTTGTAATCAAAAAGTAGCAACGAAGTTTAGGAGCCATAAGGGCGACAAGCGACGATACGTAGCAGGCGACAATTTGTAACAGGAGACAAAAGGGAAAATTCCTAACAATTGACAATTTGCAACAGGCGACAAGTCGTGACAAGGCAATGACAGATAGTGATAGTTTTCTCGCTGGTGCAAATTTCTCCCTGTTCATGAATTACGCATTGTCTTTGACAGCAGTTGTCTTCTTCAGAAAATTTTGTAACTCTATCGTTACTCCCTCGAAACTAACTAGTTTTTGTCGACTCTTTAACCAGTTTCTGTCGACTCTTTAACCAGTTTTTGTCGACTCTGGGACAATATACTGAATGAATTTGTTGACGTTTTAGTCACCTGTGAATGAGTTTTAGATTCTTATGCACCTCAACTCATCCTAATTATGATTAGTGGTTCCTGAATTTTCGTTGAAAAAAGTTAAAATACACTCCAATACAAAACTCCTGCACATCTTCAATGGTCGGGAAAAAATTTACTGGAATGAATAATGAACTCATAGAGAAACTGTTCAGATATTTGCTGACAGGAAAAAAACAATATTCAGCTTCCGTTTACTGTTTCACGGTCAATTGATTTTCAGAAGAGAAAATAACTATGATGAAAACTTTGCTGCAATTATTTAGTCGAGTATAGATTTTGAAAAAATGTTTTCAATCTCAAAAAGGACATTTCCAGGCGAAAAAAAAATCGAAACACGGATAATTGGTCGCTGTGCAAGAACCACGCAAAATTGAATTGAATTACTTAAATGGTGAAGAATGAGTACAACGAAAGTCATTTTTCTGAAAGTTTTTCATATAAGAAAATTCTGATTTTTATTCAATAATTTAAGATGAATGGCAATACAGTGAGGTATAACGCTAAAAAAATGAGTAAAAATTGCAAAAATAATCTAAAAAATGGATGGCCGGTGTAGTTCATCTTGTTTTGTTCGTGTTTTACTTTGTTATTTAGTCTGAAAGTTCAAACTAAGTTTTTTCGACACTGATTCATATTTATTGATATTTTTTGGAATTCAAAACACGGTCAAGAAAAAATTCATGAAATTTTTGAAAAAAATTACTTTTCAAAATTAACCACGCCAAAATGATACAAAAAATTTCTTTTGCTTCATTTCAATTTGGATTAGTTTCTGAGCCAGATCATTTCACCGCTTACGTTTTATCGAACGAAAAATATTGCGCGTTAATATTCTCAAATTTTCCAAATTGGCTATTTTAAATACCACAACAGTTTTCGCAAAAAAAAACTCACAGACGAAACATTTTGTAAAAATTATCAGCTGAAGACATCAACACCTTTCAAATGGTAAAAAGTAGCAAAAATGGCTCGTTAAAAAGTCGAAATCTGTCTGGAGAAAAAAAAACACCGAGTCCAAATAATCCGTCACCTTGTTCCAACGTCGCAACATCAATTTTGTCATCCATTCAGAATAATTAACATCCAAATTTTCATGTATTGTAGCACTTGTTGAGCAAACTGTGTTTCGGCGTGAACGAAGTGGAACCGAAGCTGAAAAGTTTGCGAGACTCATTGGGTTCTTTGGTGACGTCATCCACTTATCATTCCAACACTGGATTCTCTATTCTACATCCAGCCATATCTGCGCCAAAAGTATTCCGGAATAGCCCGGATTCAAATTCACGCTTACACAAGGTAAACCCTTTTTGAGTAATCAATTTGGTCATAAATTAGAAGAAATAACGATAATGATTGATTTTGATAATCCACAATGCTGTTTATATATATGAATTTTCCTTTTGGGCTGATATATCTAATTTCAAATCATGACAACTTTTTTCAGAAATTTTACGTGTGTTTCAGGGTTACTTGAAACTACTTCAGCCTTCGAAGTCACTGATTATTCTAGTGGACAATTCCAATGTGGCCTTCACCAATACCATCAGAGCTTTTCTTTTCTCACTTCTTGAAACAATAACAGATGCAGATGAAGTTTATTTGGTCTATCTCGATAGTAGACTGGGTAGTGAGTTGAAACTGCACCCTATAAGCAATGTTAGTTTTTGTACGTGGATTAACCCTTCTTGAGTAATCCAAATTCATAGCTTATGCCATCAACTAGCACAGAATATTCCGAACCACTGATTTCAGGGAAAAAAAATCGAAATTGTAAAAACGAAAAAATAAAGTAAATAAAAAAACATAATTTTTCATTTTTTCTTTCCAGAAATTGTCTAATTTAGTATGAAGACCGAATGTAGTATTCACACCCATTTTTTCGACACGGAGACAACCTTGTTTAAAATTCTGACTCCACAGTTCTACCCTACGAGATTTCTTCGAGATAGCTAAAATTGGCTGAAAAATTGACTATACGCCATAGTTCCTTCCCATCCCATAGTGCTGGTCGGAACAAAAATTTCAGTTTTATTACTGTTGAAATATGCTCATAAGCTGAACAAACGGTCGAATATTAAGCTCAAAGTTCTTTTTGGGGAAAAGCTACTGAACGTGGAATTTATACACGGATGATTGAAAGTTTTTTCAAGGAATGGCGAATTCATCTGGGTTGTCAAACCGAGGTTTTGATTTTTTGAGCTCACCTGAAACCTTATAAAGACCTATTGTGACAAAATTTTCTGTGCCACAGGCAAAGTGTCGAAAAACAGGCCAGAAATTGCGTTTATAGGCAGTTTTTAGAAAGTTCGAATTTTAAAAAGACATCGCGCTTTTTGGCGAAACCCCCATTATCAAACTTATTATTATAATGGCGCCCAAAGCACCTTAAAAATCATTTTATGGCGGGTCAAAAAATTAGTACCAGGACCCTTTGGAAAAAATTTGGCAACCAAAATTGATGGGGCGGTCGCCCATCTTCGGCACGCTTTCGTCTTTTTTCTATAGAACACCTCTCCAACAAGGTTTGCCATGTTGATATATGCTTTTTAGTAATTCACCAACCATTTAACAAAGTTTCATTTCTATATCTGAGTAGGTGCCGAGAAAATGAACTTAGAGTGAAGACAGTTTTGTTCATTTGCTCAGTTGCCCAAGACTATATTTTTAAAAAAAAATGTATAATTACCTTGAAAATCTACCTACCTACTCGAAAAAAGAAATACTGGATATCGGATCTGCTGCAAAACAAGAGCAAAATGGACAAAATTCGGGTTTTGTTACTTTGAAACCAAGAAAAAAATGTGTCAGGGTTAAGCTGGGTCTGACAAGCGAAGAAGCCATAAAAACGTATCATTTTTGAAGCTTCCGTAGACACTTCTTACTTCTTGTATTTACTTTTGCAACCCCCAAAATTTTAATTTAATTAACTCAATTTCAAGTTCAATCACCCGAAAGGAGTATCTTAACAAGTGTCGAATGGCATATGTTGGTGATCACGATGATATTGTTTTGACACTTTAATGCGTCGTTACAATTGTTTTCAGGTCTTGATAAACCAATTCAACCTTACATTATTGCATACTTGTACGAGTTTTTCGACCTTGTTTCCGAGTTTATTAAATCATAACAATTTTGGGGGTCTCAAAGATTCATCAATTTCTTGTTAAAAACAATAACATTTGGATTAGTCAAACTTAATTTAAATTTTGTCACAAAATGACAAGAAAATGCCGCTAAAGGTTCTCTACACTTAATTACTTCAAAGCCAATTTGCGGCTTTTAATGTGGTAAAGTTTTGATTCCATTACCGGAATATAGAAACCCCTCTGACGAAACAGGGGTTGCCCAAATAGTACCAGCAGGTTATTCTAATTTAAAATAACAAACTTTAGAATGGGTTCGGCTAATTTAATGACTGTTGACGTGGAAAAATATTAACAAGCTCATAACTGATCGACAGATTTTGTTCCACTTGGGTGAAAAAGTGTGTTTAGATACGCTTGGGGTTATTATTGCAGATTAAAGGTAAAGGTCAAAGCTGCCCAGTCAGAATTAATTGGCCGCTCTCCAGAATCTAAAAACCGCAATCCAACTTTAAAATCGGTTTCATGATATTTTTTGTAGTGCCGCGACATTTCGATAAATTTGAGGCACACTTTGTGAAGAACCTCAATTGTTGATAGCTGAATTATCATTTTCCTTTCAGACCGAACGTGGGTCGACCGAAGTAATAAATCATTTGAAGCAAGATTCATTCATTCAACTGACGTTCGATTGGCTTCTGAGTTCACACAAAGTGGCTGAATTGATTGGTCTAGTGTTGAGCAAAACGGAAACCCGAAACGAGTCTCGTTGCCGTCTTGATTTTGTTCACTTCTTGACCGACAGATGTTTTAATCAGAAAATAGGTAAGTGCTGCACAAAAAAGTTATCAAAACAAAAATTAACTATCCGGCAGCTATAAAGTTTTCATTTGATCAAAAAGTTTTTTTTATAAAAAAAGTAAAATTAGTGGCCGTCTTGAATTGAAAGTAGCCAAAGTGTCTTAACTTTAATTATGCTGAGCTGTCTGGCATATTTGGGCTGAAAAGTTTCTTAAAAACTTTGTTCTCTTTTCAAGGCCCTTTTATTTCTTTAAAAAGAAAATTCCACTTTTGATAAGTTTTTCTTCGTTTTTTTACATGCTTTAATTACCTAAACACACAGACAGCAATTGAATGCATGCTTTTGAGCAATTAGCAAGCGGTTTCACGAGCGCTTACTTTCCAAACTCACATGGTTTTTTGTCAGCACGGGGTTTGCATCAAATATCTCAACCAGAGAGCCAATGACTTAATCACTAGCCATCAGCTCCATACTACTTGTTCACAAAACAATTATGACAAAAACTGCAATTAGATAGTGAATGTCAACTAAATATTTTCTAACAATCGGTCGGTCCCTCCATCACGAGGGACGCCACCTCTCGCCTCACAGAGTTTTACTGCATTTTTGTCTCAACTCCAGTTGTAATTTAGTTCTCATTTTGTTCCTCAAATAGGAGGAACTGCTACTTTTAGTTTTGTGTGACGCTCAATACGGTGGTGTCCCTCATGATGCAGGGACCGAATGTTTGAATTATATTTTCAGCCAATCAGCACTGAGTGTATTCAAAAAATTCCAAGAAATTGCGAAAATCTCACAGAAAGCGAATAAATTCCGCCCATTAAAAGCAGTGTTTACCGAACAAAAAATCAGCACATCATGAATTTCGAAAATTGCGAAACCGAAGTCAGGTATTGAAAAGAATTTCAACCAATTTACGAAAAAAAATGAAAAACAAAACCAAAAAAATTATTGTATATCTGCACGAATTATACAGCATGATAAAAATGTTTTTTTTTGTTGCAGCTAATTCTACTTCATACAGTTAAAAGAATAAAAGGATAAAAGTGAATTAATCTAAAGTTAAAGCATTAAAATACTGACGAAGCATTATCTCCACCGGACAAAATGAAAGAGTGAAGGTCAGATATACGTGACCTGTTAGATTGATTACATAAATCATTTAGCTAAACTAGAATAGATATAAAAAGGAATCACATCCCAGCAAAACCCAAATTTGTTTTCTGTTTACAATGATTCCAGCTTAAGAGAGGATTTTGTTTTTGGGTGTGATATTTTTCCTTGTTTTATTTTTCACTCAAATTTTAATGCCACAAAAAAATCATCGAAATGGGTCGAGTGAAAAGTTCGAGCATCGAGTAAATGACACAGAAAAATTTCAAACAAAGTAAACTAAAAATCAAAAATTTGAAACCAGTTTTTCTCGGCATTGGGACAATTTTCTCAATGCCGAGAAAAATTGGTTGAGATATCTGAGTTTTGGTCTAAAAACGAGCGAGTAAGTCGATCGGGTATTATTCACAATCACAACCACATTAAAGTTTTGAATTCTTTTTTGAAGGAGTTTGAGCGAACAATAGCATTTTTTGGCTTCTGCATTCCCACAAGTTCAGTTTATAATGGTGCCGAATGTGCCCATGGATGTCGTAAACTAATGTCAAAGGGGACCCAAATTTTTTGAAGTTTCCGGGACTCTATTTGGGAAAAAATAGAGGATTGCTTTTAGGTTGAGATTTAAACTTTTTTTGCTCAGCATGAATTACAGCTCCGGAGGAGATTTTATGTCGAGGCTCTTTTTAAAATAAACGTGGAGTATGAAATCGCTAACTTAATTACACAACTTTCAATTCATAATACGTCTGAAGTGTTTTAGAAAAAAAACCGTACCCAAATTATTTAGTTTTCTTCACCACAAATGTTGATTGATTTAATACATATCTTTTTATTTTTATTTTTTTTTCAGATTACTACGAGAAAAATTGTTGAATACCCAAGCTCTTTCTTATTTCACTTTGATTTGAATTGCTTAGAATATAAACTTTACCTTCTTTTGTTTACCTTTTCAACGAGGACAATTGATTGATTGATTGATGAACTACCAATGATTTTCAAGCAATTTATTTTTTCGTCAGAAAACTGGTCAACTCAAATTATTCAGAGAGCAATTTGCAAACAAAATTGTGTAGTTTGTTGTTCACTTGAGAAATGGTTCACAAACTTACTAAATGGTAACAAACTCTCTTAATAGCATAAATCATCTCATTTTCAACTCTGTTCACAAGTGGTTTTGACTGGCTCATCTGTTGAGCTCGCCTTACTAGTTAACAAGCTAACTTATTATTAATTATTACTACTGATTGTTTTTTGTAAAGGTGTTTTGTCCGGCGCTGAAACGCACACCATGATTTAGTTTTCAGTTTATAGGCGTCAGCAAAGTTCTGTGTTAATCATGTACCACGACTGCAATTGCTTTTAACTCTTCATACCTCTCAGAAGTTTTCACTTTTGGAGTTTATGATAAGTATGTGTAAGTTTGGACCGCAAACCGCACTTGAGAACTCCTCTTAATACAAACTTCAACCCAAAAGATAGCAGAAGATCAAAGTAAGGACGATAAAATGTCAAATATGGTTGATTTTGTTTCCTTTTTCAGTCAAAGATGATGAAATAGTTTTGGTGCATTGCTTGTTCACATGTGTTAATATCTTTTACAATGAGCTAGAATTCAGGCATCACTAAAAAATTGTTAGAAACTAGTGTACATAATATGCATAGCTGAAAGTTAGCCAATAATTTCCCAGCTCTGAACAGGGGAGGCGGGATGTGAACTTGGGGAGGGGGGGTGGTGGGTAACAAGCATAGTTAACGAGGATAGTTGACATGGTCTAATGAATTTTTTATTTTTGACAATATTTGAATTTTGACATTGTTTCGATTTTTATGCTAGTCGATGCAATTTTCAATTTAAAATTTTTTATACAAGTTGAGCTTTAAGCTAGTCGATACAACGTCATTTTTTTGCCTGTTTGCAAGCTGAATTCAACAAATTAAGTTCTAAAACAATCTAACTTAAACCAAAGCTTTTTCCAGATGTATTTTATTCAAAATTATGTTTTTGGAACATCACTTTGTCCTCTCGAAGATTCAAGGCATGCAAACCAAAAGCGTAATTTGATATTCCAAGAAAAAGTCACGACAAAAAACAGAAGAGGGCAACGTTTCAAAGAGTTTCATTTCATAGAATTCTGCGCAAAAAAACTCTGATACTTGAGACCGGAAACTTCTGTAGGTTTTGCAAAGTAATCATTCATTTCTATTGATGATATAATTTGGATAGTAATAAAATCAAACGTTTATTAATTTATGTTTTCAGAGAAAATGATCTCTGCTACTAATTGTCGAATTCGTTTTGCGAGCATCATTGATTAATTAAATGAGCATGCATTATCGTTCGATGATAGAAAACAGTCCAAAACGAATCAGTCCCATAAAAGTACAAAAATGAACAAAAAACTGACCAAGCAACATAAAAAACAAAAAAAAATGATCATATCAACAGTTTTGCGAGCTTGCCAACAGAGGTTTGGATTCTGGTGACAGAATAAAGTATCCCATACGAAAGTATCCCATTACAAAATATCCCATACCAATATATCCCAATGGGCACAATAGCCCATGCCAATATAGCCCATGTCAATTAAAATATCCCATAGAGGATTAAAAATTAATTTATGATATAGATTACCAGAGATTGGTGCATATATCTATATTGCAATTGAAAAGAGACCCAAGTCAACTGCCTACAATATTTCGAGACGCCATATAGAGCTAGTGCTAATGATAACAGACTCTTTTTTAGGGATTAGAATTTATTTTTCAATCTGTTAATGGAGTCATAATTGAGAAAATTTTGATAATGAAACACAACGCAAAGATTTATCCTTACACATATCTACGGTAAAACTCAACAAGGCAAAGCGTTACTTATCTTGGAAGGACACGAGTTCACTAAAAAGTGAGTCTTTAAATCTACCACTCACTGGCGTTGTGCAAAATGGCGTTCACATGCATGCCCAATGATTCGTATAACTTGCGACGAAACCATTATTTCATTCAATCACGAGCACATCCATGAGTTTAACCACGGTCGAGTAGAAGCAAGGCGTAGATTTAATCTGTCTAAGAAATCGTTCCAAATTGGTTGAAGGAAGATTATTTGCCGTAATTGATATATTACTACGAGCAAGAATTATCACTTTGTACTTTATATGGCGTGTGGAGGGATTAATTTCACAAAATAAATCTCAAATAGAAAAGCAAAATTCATTTTATTTTCTATTGTATTCAACTTTTATAATTACTTTTCCATAGACCTTAAAAGGCAGCCCGTAAATTCATGGCTTTGTCCTGATACGAGCAGTTTTGTTTATCTTTTGTTATCTTTCAACGTATAAAACAAAGCTTCAATAAAGTGTTATGCTTTGTGACCTCGGTGTAGTAGTTTCGATTTTTGCAAATTTGTAGTTTTTTGTAGTTTTCTAACAGTCAAAGTTCATTGTTCTCAATCGTTTGGTTTTGGGAGAAATCATTTTTTGCAGAAATAAAAAAAATTTGTGGGAATTTTTGTGGATACAAACAATGGTTATATTGTCAAAAAAATGCTCGAAAAATTTAAAATCAACAATAAAGCAAAAAAATGTGTTGAAATATTGGTCTAAAATGGTGCAACGTTATCAAAGTTGGTATTCATTCACTTCGTGAGCGAGAAAATTATTAAGAAGATTGAAAAAATATTTTCGATACAATCAAAAATTTTGACCAATTGCTCAACTCAACGCATGGGTTGACCTTCTTTTTCCAAATATCATTAGAGAATTCGAATTATGGAATATTTTTTCTAATTCTACAATTAAAGAAAAAGCTCTCATCTGATTCTACGGTACTACCGTTTCTGGTTCCTTCAGGAGATTTTTTTTTTAAAGAATCTACTACTTGCAGCCAGCAAAATTGCGGAACGAACAAATATGCGTTGAACATTTTTGGTTTTGAGAAAAAAAATGATTTATAGCGTGATCTGTTCTTAAAAACAATAAAATTTTTACGCAATTATTTTGACCATGAATTATCGCTAGGAATAAAACTGAACGAACTATGTGGTCTTGCAAGAGCAGATCACGACATCTACTAAGTATTTCTTGAAAAATTTTTTCACAATACAGTTTTTTTTACCTCAAAAAACTTTTTTATAGGACTAATATTTTCAGTTTACAGATTAAAACTTTTCATCCAGCAAAACTTCTTAATGAAAAAATCTACATGAAGTATTTTCCTTTTTTTTTCTTACAAAACAAAATTTAGCACCCCAGTTTGAGGTTCAAAAAAATAAACATAGCCCAAAAAACTTTGCTAAGCCATAAAATAAATTTATAGTGGCTCAAAGCAAACGTTTTCACCTCAGTAGAGTGGGTCGAGACAGTCGAGACATACCGGATTTTGGGTGAGCCGGTTGAAACATCATCTAGCTGGGCTGAGTAAAGGTGTATTATTTTATCTTCGACTGAGAAATTCTACACAATTGAGACTTGACTGAACTCGGTTGAGTCATTAAAAACCTGTCAGAGTTGTATCGAGCAAATTTAAGTATATTACTTCAGTTGAGAAAGTCAAAACGTACCACTTTTTGGCGAACAAGGTTAAAACACACCCAATACTGGTCGAAAAAGCCAAAACACAGATCGTTTTTTTTCTGCTATTTCCATTTTCTCGTGGGTTCCAGTGATTTTCATTCGACCACCAGTGATTTTTTGGCACTTTCTTCAGTTCTTAATCAATTTTTCCATCCAATTTGTTTCTCTTACAGTTATGTTTTATGTCCTAACCGCTCTGTCTATTTATAATTTTCCAACCTTTCAGCCAGACTAGTGAAACTTTTTTCACTCATTTCAAATTTTTTTGCTAGTTGAAAAGATTTTTTACAAGTCAGAAAATTATTCATCAAATCAGCGAAAAAAATAATCAGCTCAAAAATCTTTCGGCAAAGATTTTTAGCACAAAAATTGAGCGCGACATGGATGGAAAGAAGTGGAAAATTTTTAAGTGTGCACTTACTTGCTTTTTGTTTTTGAACAAATATCTACCAAAAGTGAGCATGATGCTTGCGGAAACATCAAAAATACGAATCATTCATATGCATCTTTATAAGTCAGAAAACTATCCAAGAGAGGGGTTGAACAAAGTACAGAATGGAATTTATAGTAAAGCCTAAATTTTAGTTTTGAGAATGGTGTGGCTCAGGGGCGGATTTAGGGGGGGGGGGGGGGGCGGGGGGTTTGGAACTCAGCTGTTTGTTTGGTGGAGAGTGGCAACTTATAACGGATGACAGTAACTGTTTTGCAGACAAAGCGCTCAAATATGTCGAAATGTATTCAGATACCGACAAGAATGGGTTATCCTTCACTATGTATCCTTCACTACATAATGACAAGTAATTAATACTAGAAAATATAGTTTTTTTTTAAAATTTTTTTTCATGCAAAGTTAAACAAATTTGGGTTCATCTTATATATTGCTAATATCAAAGTCTGGATCTTTTCTTTGTTCAGTTATACCATCACCCCCCCCCCCCCCTCCCCTCCCTTCCCACCCCCTAAATCAGGGGCGAATTTAGGGGGGGGGGGCGGACGCCTTTTCTCTCAGGGATTCGAACCCCTGCCAACCCAAAGGGTCCCCCTTTGGTACTTTTTAAGAAAACCATTTTTGGCCGACCGACCCTAAAATTTTTCTAAAGGCGCCTTTGGCGCCAATATATACTAATTTTGAGGGGGAGCGCGCGCCAAAAAAACGCGTTTTTTTTTTGTCAAAATTTTCCAAAAAGTGCCCAAAAACGGCTTTTTTAACCTGTTTTTTCAAAAAATTGCCTGCGGCGCATAAAATTTGGCCAAAACAGGGTCTTTTTACTGGTTTGAGAGAGCTCGGAAAATCAATCTGATCGACCTAAAAAAAAAGGTCGTCAAAATTTTCGAATTTTTTTTGAAAATCCGCCCCCCCCTCGAGAAAATCCTAGATCCGCCCCTGGTGTAGCTCCAGTTTTCACCATTAGTCTGACTATTCTGAGGGTTGTCCTTCGCTGATTTCGACCCACATATGAGAAGAAACTGTGGGGCTGAAATCTCAGCTTGAGTGCAGCAAGGTTTAACAACTGTCAAAACTGTAAGCAAAGATACAACAAAAGTAAAGTTAATTTTAGCATCGACTCTGGAAACAACCATGCGAAAAAGCAATCGGAAATTCTTCGTCTATTCATTCGACAGCAAAATGGACAACAGGCCTCTGAAGAAACTCAGCTGTTCGTTTGGTGGAGAGTGGCAACTTATAACGGATGACAGAAACTGTTTTGCAGACAAAGCGCTCAAATATGTCGAAATGTATTCAGATACCGACAAGAATGGGTTATCCTTCACTATGTATCCTTCACTACATAATGACAAGTAATTAATACTAGAAAATATAGTTTTTTTTTAAATTTTTTAAATTAATACTAGAAAATATAGTTTTTTTTTAAATTTTTTTTCATGCAAATTATTTTATATTTTAGGTCGAAAGTGGTGGAAAGCGCCGAAATATGTACGCCTTTATCTATTAGAAGGAGTAAACAGGAGCATATTGGAACTTACTCGGATAACTTTGGGGCACTTTGCCTCAATGTCAATTTGAGTTTAATTGATGGAAATGATCAGAAAACTGTTTTGGTTTGTTTTACTTGCTTTAGTTGAGATATATTGTTGTGCTTATAATTTCTGGCCGTTCCCCAAGCTAGACTAACTATGTCATTGAACTATGTCATTGATTTGATGCAATGATGTTTTATCTGATTTTAAGTTAGCATGTTGAATCAGAGGCACAATAGAGGTTTTCTCGTGATTAAATAAAATCAATAGCATCAATAACCATAAATGGACTTGAAAATGAAAGGGTTAAATACTCTTTAATATTCTCTAATAGATAAAAATATTTATTTTTTATTAGGAAAAAGGCAGCATTCCGTTTTGTCCAAGCAGAACTGTTCCTTCTAGAAGTTCTAAAACCCTCGACTCGATCCGGAGTGAGGAGGGCAGGTGTCTGAGTGGGAACAAGATGACGTCATCACAACTGAGACAGCAGCTAGAAGGGGAACTGCAGACAATGGCCATACAAGCAGAGCACCATCTCAATGTGAGTAAAAATATGGAACTGTAATTGGCACTAAAACGAAATAAGTGAAAAAAAGAGAATACAACGAAGAAAAAATACCACACTCGTTCATGCGCAATTTGTTTTCCTGGAACTTCAAGATGTCGAAATTACAGTTTTTTGATTTTTGGTTTAAAATTTCACAGACTCACACGCTGTAAGGCCAAGTTTTAGGAGCTAAAAACCCGGCATTCGTTTTTAACACATGCTTGCTGATTTTAGTAGGAAGTTTAAATCTCATGATAAGTTTTTTTTCTCATAGATAGTGGACTTGAATCCCAATTGTCCCTTCGACGACCAAACATGTGACGTATGTAGTCTGGACTCTCTCCTGGCCAAACTCTCCTCCCTGGATGACAATGACAGTGACCACCAACTGCTTCACTACCCTCTTGAGAGAGGACAAGTCACCTGGAGGACATCAACTATTAAGTACAGTCAAGAGGCGCATCTCATTAGGACACAGTTCAACACGTCAACTCAGGCAGAGAGGGTGAGTTCTACATAAAAAATGTTGAATTACAGTCCGACAATATGGAAAATATTGAGCAGATCTCAAGTTTTATCGCAATTCAAGTTCTTCGAACCATTCACATGTTCTTACCATAATATTGAATGTTTTTCCTCGTCACAAGGTCAAAACTCGATTACTTATCATCACGGTACGTATCACTCGGGATGATAAGCATTCAATTTTTGATCTAATGACATGGTGGTCACTCAGTTGGTGGTCACATATTGCCAAATCAGGTGTTATACTCTCTGCCATTCTACAAAGGACTTGTTTGAACTCTGAGATCTGACATGAGTTCTGCTCACGCATTCAAAGATTCATAAAAATACGTTTTTTTTTGTTTCAGAAAAGTCTGCAAGACTCCATTTGTCTGACCAATGCTCTGGAAGTGAACTGGAAGAAGGCCTTCTCTAGTGGATCTCGGTTTAAGTGGCTCTACTACTTGGATTCCAAGACTAGATTCGTTAGGAGCTACCCTGGATTCACACTGGCCGACCCAGAATCTTGCAACGAACCGAAAGTTCATGACAGTGCAACTGAGAGGGTGAATTTTTACTAACTAACATTATTTTAGACAAGATTCAAGTTAATAATGCTTAGTGTCTCCGAAAAAAAAATGTCAAGTTTTTGTTTAAAAAAATTAATATGGATGGCTCTAAATTTGTATTTTAAACACGCGGGTATATATCTTGTAGATTTAAAAATAGGCAAATAATACGGCGATTACTGGTGCATCAGTCAAATGTTTGCTTGCTCATCAACAAGGTTTACTCGATGAAATGACAAATCAACAACAATTTCAATTTAAGTTTAAAATTATTTTGTTACCTTGTTTGTTTTGTTCCAGGTGTTTGCCTCTATCCAGTCTCCGGCCAAAAGAGTGGTTCTGGTAGCAAGTCACTCGAATAAAGGGACTAAATCAAGCTCTCTTCTCTCTAATCTGCTGCTTGCCCTCTTCGATACAATCACGAGCAATGATCTCTTCCAGTTTGTTAATACTGAAAGCCCATCCATGCCCTTCCAACTAGAGCAGGTGAACATTATGACCCATTGCCAAACAAATTTCATAATAAGCGCTATCAATTTTAAACTTATGTATGGTTTGGTCGAAGTATTATCACGTATCGTTCCTCAAGGAGCAAGTATCAATGGATTAGTTGTTATTGAAAAATAGTGAAAGTTGAATGAAAAAGAATTGAGTTTTTTAATTTTAGGAGAGCTCGAAAAAATCAATTTTTGATGGCATTGAAAACACGCAGACAAAAATTGTGCCGCAATCTTTCATACTATTAGTGACTGCTCGTTGAACTGCAACTTGCTAAACTTTCAGATGCGAGAAGCAGACAGGGCTCGTGTGAGACAGCAGATGGTATTTGCGGAGAGTGGAGTAACAGAGGGAAATCAGATCTCAACTATGGTGGAGAGGGCATTCCAACTACTCAACTACAACAGCGACAACCGCTACCAACAAAATGGTACACATAGACATCGGATCATTTTAAAAACCAACTTTATGACTCCGAGAACGGAAATACCCACCCCAAAAAGTGAACATAATAACGAATACCCTTTTGAAACCAGGGAAATTTTTTTAAATCACTCCCAGCCCTTCATTCAAAGGGAAGTTTTGAGGCGTTTAAAGGTAAAATGGAATTTTTACATGCTAGTTCTAGTACAATAAGTTTGAAACAATAAGCGTCACTTTTCTTATTTATTGATTGACAATAAAGCACACAATTCATATGTAAAAAAATACAATGGGCTTAAAATTAGTAAGCGATAAGTTGCCAATGACCTTTTATGTCCATTTCCTGATGTTTTCCTTAGCATGCGTCAAAGTTCTGCTTCTGATCATCGACCACACAATTGACTTGACCCTCCTAAACCAGGTGAAACATCTCAACTCTCTGTCAACCAATCAAGTTCGAGTGTTTGTCTACTCAGTCGGATTAGCCAATCAGGATTCAGTAGCAAGACAGGTGGCTTGTGACAATTTCGGCGCCTGGTACAAAATGGACAGTCAATCGGATTTGGTCGTGGCACGAGAATACTACACGATGCTGGCAGAGCCAAATTTCGCCTCTCAGGTCACTTGGACCAAACAGGACCCTGTTGGGTACGTTGAAATTCTTGCACATGTTTCGCCCCCGTACCATTAGAAAACTCATCAAAAAATTTCGAATTCTTTAATTTTTGTGGATTTTTAAAACCTTTTCGCAGTAATTAGTTGCACGAAAATTCCGGGGGAAAATTTAGGCCACAACTCGTCAGTAAAAACTAGGGTTTAAAAATTGGCTCACCCCGGACAAAAACAAAGACACCTCAATTTTCAATAGTCAAAACTTGAAATTGCCCTTGAAGATTGTGAAGCTTTTCTGCTCAACTTTTTTCTCTCATAGGTCTAATTTTAGATTCGATGCTAACTCTCAACTAGGAGCGTGTGTTCCCGTGGTTACTATTTCCAAACTGGGCACCGCCAAAATGCAGGGAACAGTTTGTGGGTCAATTGATGAAACGAGCTTCTTCCAATTTCCAAATGCACTTGCGGTAAGGCACTTAATCAGTCAATAGGACAAGGTTCAAAAAGAGTTGCAATTTAAAGGGACTTAGAAACAGTTTTTGTTCCGACCACGAAGCGGAAACCAACTTTGAATTCAGCTGTAATTTCCCTGGCAACTTCAGGTACCCCACAGAAATTTTTTAGAAAGTTGAGTGATATATATATCATCATATATATCGTTTAAAAGCGGCGTCTTCAGCCGTGATTCGAATTGCCAAGGAAAATTCCCGACAAATTGTCTCAGTGTCGTTGTCTCAGTGAGTTTAAACCAATACCTCCCAAAAGAGAAAAGAGTTGAAGAATAATAGTAAAGATAAGCTACTAAGAATACTAACAATTCTGCGCATCTAAGAAAAGTGAAAAAAAAAAATGATTATAATGGATTTTTGTGGTCTAAAACATTGTCAATATAATCGATTCTCATGTTAATCTTAGACAACAAAATTGGGCAAAAAAACGGATTTAAATCCATTTTTTTCTGGCAAAAACATAATGCATTAAAATTCATTCACTTGAAATCCATTATAATGGATAATAAAACAAGTATTTTTTTCCACTTTATTTCCGTTTCCCGTCGTGCAAAATTTTGCAAGATAATCTGCATGGAACAAATGAGTCATGCAAAATCTTTGTTGACCTCTCTCCCCTAACATTTGGCCCTTTGCTCCCTTACAACCCCCATTCCAACGTTTGCCTCTTTGCCCCCACCCCTTCCCACACTTGAACCCCCTCCCATTCTCTGATCCGGTTCAGGTATGGTGAGTGTAGTGTGTGTGTGTGTGAGTGTAGTGTGTGTGTGGGGGGGATTCAGTTGGGATTCATTTGGTGGATGGGGTTGGTTCAGGTGGAGGCAGGGTTGGGGGTTGGGATTGGTTCAGGTGGGGGATGGAAGCGGGTAATTGTTGAAAGGAACAGAATTCAGCTATTGAGTAACATAAAAAGGAAAAAAATATATCAAATTTTTCAAATAATCAAAAATAACCAATTTTAGTTTACAACGTAGAAAAGACTTTAGGTGCGTTGGAATTCGCATCACAACAAAGTGAGAAAAATCAATTATAATTGAGTTTTATGTCAGTTTCCACAAAAGTAAAAAAAATGGATTAAAATGGATTAAGAATGGATTTTGTTTCCTCGAAAAATAGTAATATTAAAATCCATTTTTAATTGAGTATAATCGATTTTTTTTTTATTTTTGTGGACACTGTCAGTGAAACTCAATTATAAACGATTACTTCTTGAACACCGAGTAGTGTTCAAGGCGTAATCGAAAGTGTCTTTTTAAAAAGTAATAATTTGGTTATTAGTTTGAATACAGAAAAAAAACATCTCGTTAAACTCATAATCAGATCATATTCACTTAGGTACTCATAATTTAGATCAAATAAAACCCCAACTTTCTGTTGAGTCAGACCCCAACGGCATCGATTTTATCAGCTTGTATTCTCACAACTAAAATTAGCTTAATGATTACCTTAGTTGAGTCAATCAAGCGCTTCAAAAGTTTATAAAAGTCAGGCAAATCTGTTTGAGTGCTAATCAGTCGTAAATTTGGGTCAAGTTGCCTTTTGAGCAATATATGGTATCTCAAGGAGCCATGGGAGCAAAACTGTCAAGCTCAAAACTATTTAAGTTTGTTAGCCTAGTCGTAAAAGTTATCTTAGGGATGAGTTAAGTTAAGCGGAAACTGTAGAATCGAACTTTGAACTTTTCTACTTTGAAATTATTGAATGACTATGCTTCTTTTTATTTTATTTTTTTCCCGCTTTTCAAAAAAAATAGGAAAATTTATGCTCGCAGTTCTGTTTTCTGACAAAAATCGACCTTGAAAAAATTGAAAGTTATTTTTGTTTTACTTAAAAACATCAACGCCCTGAGTTCACTTTTGGTTATTTTTAAGCGGCCGGAAGAAAATGCTATTTACAAACTGTTTTCAAATTGATAATAAGTGAACAAAATAATAAGTGAAACTTGCAATGACGTTTTGGTAGAATTCAAATTATTTGTAGAAAAAAAAACTGTTTTTCTTCACTGTCTGTAATGTGATGGACCTCATTAAGGTATCCTGTAAATCGCATTAACACTTGTTATATGCGTTGCGATATCGGTTGAAAACAAGTTGTAATTCAATACTGTATTTTTACTATTGAATTTAGGTTTTCTTATTCTTTTGTTTTGTTGTTGTACTGAGAGTTAGATCAATGTTACGAACTCTGATCTCTCGCTTAATCTCAGTGTCATCACTCACGTATGACCTTGAGCATACCATACAGTAATGATTAAGCACCAAAGGTTAGCTGTACATACGTATATAAATACTGCTACTGCAGTAGCGGTATGACACACCCCCCTCGGTGGAAGAAATAAATTATACAACATAAGTAGGATAATTTATTTAAAAAGAGTTCAATATACTCAGTTCAAAGAAAGTCTCTTGGTTTATTGACGATTTTAGATTAAGGAATTTTCAGTTTTCTTCCAGCTCCATTTCCCAACTCGGGTTCCAATCGACTCCCTCGTCTAGTATAGCGTATCTGAATTTTCGCATGAACAGATGTCTTTCGAGTCGTCGCACTTTTGATTCCATTGGTTTGTCGTTTCGATCTTTGAAATCTCTCAGTTGATTTTTGTATTCTTTAAGTACCTCCTTTAAAAGACCTCCCCCTGTGAGATTTTCTGATATTTCTTTAATTGAGTGCTTTATCGGATCTCCGAATCGTTTAGGTTCTTTGTTTTTCGTTTGTCTGGAGCTTCGTCTAACACCTGACTCTTCCGTACTTGATTCGTCCGAAAATCCTTGTGGTGGTTCGAAATTTGTGTCCATTTCCGAACTTTGTTGTGGATTTCCTCGAATATCGTCCGCAACTCGCTGTACTCCTCTTTTTAACAATTGGTCCGCGTACTTCTCCCATTCGGACGGTGCTAAATTGCGATTGTGAAATGTGTCGACTATGTCTTCTAAAGGAGTGTGAGAGTCAATGCATTTCAATTTCTGCCGCTGTTTAGCCTTTGGCGTAGAACTGGACTGAAATTTGGTGTCTACTCTTTCCGGCTTAGATGTCGATTGCTCCTGTTCTGGGTTGGCTGCAGTCGCAGTTTGGCTTGTCCCCTGTTGCTGCTTGTTTCGGCCTTTCTTTTCCTTTCCGCTCTTCTCCAGCTTGTCTGTGTTATTTTCCTCTATAGTTGATTTTGGGCCCGCCAAATTGGGTTTTGCTCTTTTGACTGCTAGATTCAGACCTCCCCCGGCTTCTGTGTCCTTAGAAGTAACTATTGTTTGGCTTTTCTGAAAACGCTCTGTGGGATTCATTGCATCTGCGATTTCCATTTCTCCTTGAAGTTCGTCTTCTGAGCCCAGCTCCTCGAGTAATTCTGGAGAACTGATTCTCTTAAACTTTTTTGTAGGTTCCAACGATGGACTTTTACTTTTGCTTCGTTGATTTTCTTGTGTCAGTACCGTTTTCGATTGTGCTATGTCCGATTTCCTATAAATCGAACCGGCCGATGTCTTAATTGTTGAGTCCGTTTCTGAAGCGATTTTCCCTTTTAGTGGTCTGGTTAAGGCTTGTCCGCTTTTCCTTAGTGGGTCCTTTCGGAGTATTGTTTTGGGTGGTGATTTACATTGATTTTCTACTTTGTCCTCCACAAATCCTTTCTCCCAAGAGTAGATCATTTCCTTTCGAAGGTCGGGATTGAGTAGCCCTGTCTCGTCCACTAATTTCCTGATATCGTTTTTAGCCGCGTCCCTTCTTTCGTTGTTCCAACGGGCGTTCGCCTCCAACAATTCCTTTAGAGCTTTGGCCCTTTCTTTGTCTCTGTCCGATGTTAACTGCTGCTTGTGCAGTGGGCTTCTATCCCTGCTAAGTTGTCCCTTGCGCACTATTTTGAGATTCTCTCTCGACTGGTCAATTCTCCGTTTCAGTTGGGAGGCCGTCAGTGCTGAGCGTTCCAAGTGTTGTTTGTCTAAATAATCAGAAATATTTAAAAACCTATCCCTCACAATTTTAAATTCTGTTTTTGGTAGTCTGCCGAAATGTGCTTGAAACGGGGATACTTGAAATGTTTTCTGCTTGTTCCACCGTAAATCTCTCATTATAGTGCTGAGGCATAGTTTGATTGATTTATTATTTTCTTCGAGCATCATCACTCCCAGTCTTCTTTTTATAGTTTGGATTGTACGTTCGACCAAACCACAACCTCTGTGGTCCCCCACCGGACAAAATTTTTGCTCGATATTGAATTCCGAACAGAATTTTTTTAGCGTTTTCCCCTTAAAGCCTGAAAATTGGTCCGAACGAATTGATTCAGGGACTCCATGTGTGTCGATATATGATCTCAAGAATTTTACTGTGCACTTTCCACTTGTGGATTTCGTAACCTTCACTGATGGAAATTTTGAGAATCGATCTATAGCTACTAAAAGGTAGATTTTTTTTCCTTTTTGATTTTCTATAGGCCCCGCGTAGTCTAATTGTACCTCCTGTCCCGGCTGCGTGAGCAGTGGCAGTGGTTTTGACGAATTTTTCGAAATAAGGTATTTAACATTCTTACCATATCTGGTACAGCTACGGCACTCCTCTGCCAAATTCACGATGTCCTTATTCATATGAGGCCACCACAGATATTGCGCTGCTCCCAACATAACCTCCTGGCCTGGATGCCCTCGATGTATTCGTTTCAGGACAGCTTGTCTTAGTTGTACTGGAACTGCTAGCCGGTTATTCACCAAGATGCAGTCGTCCTGAACTGCCATCTGTGACCACAACGGATTTGTATAAGGTCCCATCAATTCAAATCCTTGTTTGTCCCCTCTTTCGATCACTCGTCTGAGGCGGTCCATCCACGTGTCTTCTGTGGTCAATTCTGCTAGTAAACTTTTGTCGAACAGTTTTGCTAGATTGTCCAAGGTCTCTACTTGTTGCTGCTTTTGCAGTTTCGTTTTTCCCAGTCCCTTTGGCGGTTCTATTGAGCACACTTCCTCTTCACTCTCCGCCTCTTCTGTGGTTGTTAGGTCCATCTCTATTACTTGCACCTCACTGAGTTTCCGTTCCGCCGATGCTGAACATGATTTGTGTTCCGAGCTGTCCTTGACTTCTTGGGTGTGTGCCACCAGTTCTCTATTTTCCTGAACATTGTCTTCTCCGTCTATTAGCTGCCAGAATGAGAGTAGTCTTTGATCCGCTTCTCTTTGTTGATCCGGTTCCAGCTGCCATTTCACCCGTGATGCATGTCGTGTTTCACTGTCGGAGCTATCTCTGTTTTTCCGGCCCCCTCGAATTATTTTTCTTGTACGCTGAACTGTCTCTCTGATCTCCTCCTCTTCCGAAAGTTCATTTGTGTTGGATAGTGAGCGGTTCCACTTTGGGTCCATTAGACTCTCCTCGCGCTCCTCATTGCGCCATTCTTGTGGTGGGCTCGACCACCAGTCGTATGATCTGTTTCCGTTTCCTGACATCTCGATCCTTGAGTCTGTTTTTTTTTCAATTTCCGGTACTGGTTGTTTTATGATTTTGAATTTATTTAAGACTGACTGTTTGTTGGATTGATTTGACGAAAAAGTGATTTGCTTATGTTGAACTGTTGTGTTTTGCTGTTTTTGCAGTCGTGAAAACTGTTTTCTCTCGTTCCGGTCGAGCTTTGTTCGGTTTTGACCGTTTTGGTTGCTATAGCAACCATTACTTGATGACTGTTTCTTAGCATTCCTTCTAGAACATTCTAGAACGTTTTCGTTCCGTTTGAGCGACCCAATTTCTTTAAGCCTACTGTTCCAGCAGTCGAACGCTTCATGAAAGGAGTTTATTGTCGCTACTACAAACTTTTCGTCTAATTCTGATTCGGGCCAGGGATCGTTGAAGGGATCACGCGATAAATAATCAACTATGCCCATGTCCCTCCCCGGAATGTGAACTATTTTGAACTGATATGGCAGTAACCGGTCAACCCACCGGGTTAAACGTGATTGGTAGGTCTTGTTTGATTTGTTGACATCCAATGCTGTTGTAAACGCTTTATGGTCAGTTGCAATGATAAATGTTGTCCCCAGGAGGTAGTGTTTATATCTATCTACTGCCCAAACAACTGCCAATAACTCCAATTCATTTGTGGAATATTTTTTCTCTTGGGCATTTAGGTATCGGGATGCGAATGAAATTGGGACCCACAGGCCTTCATCATTTTGTTGTTCTAAAGTAGCCCCTAACCCATCATGGCTAGCATCGCATTTAACTCGTGTTTCTCGAGTCGCATCGTAATAATGTACTTTTGTTATACCTGCCACAGCTTCTTTTATAGCATTAAACACTACGATGTGTTCCTCCCCCCACTCAAATTTTTTCACCGGGAATTTCATGTTTTTTAACTGTTTCTTTTGATTCTCTTCTTTTAGAAGTAGTCTTAATTTTTCAGTCAGACTTGCTGCGTTAGGTATAAATTTAGCTAAGTGATTTATGCTTCCCAGGAATGACCTTAGCTGTTTAAGCAATTTCGGCGGGTTTAAATTTACTACTGCTTCCGTTTTAGTGGTTTTTGGTCTAACTCCTGCCTCTGAGAGATGATGACCCAACCAATTCACTTCTTGTTTGAAAAAATCGCATTTTGTTAATTTCAACGCCAAAGTTTCCGCATCCAATTTTTTTAATACTGCTTCTACCAAATTTGCATGTTCAATTTCACTTCCCTTTGACACAATAAGTATGTCATCCAGAAAACAGAACGTGTTTTTAGCGTGGTTGATAGTTCTGTCCATAGCCTTTTGAAATTCAGCTGGCATATCTGCTAAACCATAGAACCCTGTCAGGAATCTGTAGGTTCCAGTTGCTTTTTCACCAACAATGTTGAAGTTGCATTGTCTAGCTGTATCTGCAGCCAATTTTAATTGACTGTACGCATATTTCAAATGTAACACCGAAAAATATAGCGTACCCTTTTTGTTTTCAGTTACGATCTGGCTTACCCCATCAATGAGTTCATCTACATTTGGCATTTGGTATTTGTTTTTGAACAATTGTCTATTGATTGGTTTTGCATCCATAGCCAATTTTATTGAGTCGTCCTTCTTTACTGTTATCACAATCGGAGCGATAAAGCAATCACTTGTACATTTATCAAGTTTTGTTATATGACCTTCTGTCAACAACTTCTCAATTTCTTTTTCGATTTTATCTTGTATGTGAATTGGGATTCTTCTCCCCTTTTCTTGGATCGGACATAATGGATATTTAAATTTTGAACTGACAACGTGATTTTTCGAAATGCCTTGTCTTTCAAATAGGTTTTTAAATTGAGTGCAAAATTTTTCTTTCCAACCTTCTGACTGCTCGCACATGAGCACGTCAAACCTGGTGAGTTCCTTGGGCGCTGGTTTTTGTGTAGTCACTATTCCCACTTTTCCTTGCAAATCTAGTCCCATGATACATCTAGTTTTTCGTTCTGATACCAGAAAGGTGGCGCCCTTTACTTCCCAGCCCGCTGACCTCAGATTGGTTTTTAGGGCTCCCAGTATACTGATCGGTTGTTTGTTGTAGTCCACGAATTTGGTTTGTAAATTCAGTTTATCGGACGGTATGAATCTTACTTTGTTTGATTTTTCCATAATTTCCTTTGTTGTCGCCCAGTTGAGAAATGAAACTGGACTTCCAGTGTCCACTGTTAATTGAATTATCTGGTTATCTATTCGTACCATGGCCTTTAGTGATTTTACACAATTCAATGTTGGATCGCGGATCGAATCTGTTTTCTGAACTCGCACCATTTTTCCGTTTGGTTTGTCCCTCATTTCGTTGATTCGGTCTTTCACATATTTTGAAACTCTCTCGTTTTCCGGTTGATAGGTTTGTATCGACATAACTTCAAATTCGCTACATGACCCAACACCTTCACTTATCTGATCGCATTCCTCTACCGATCCTTCCGAGTCTTCCGCAACTTCACTTACTTGTTGGGATCTGCACATTTTAGCAAAATGATTGGGTTTGCCACAGTATTTACAGGTTTTCCCCATCGCTGGACAATTTTTTAGGTGTCCCTGTTCAAACGTCCTTCCACATCTATTACATGGTTTTGTTTTCGTGTTTTAATTCTTGTTATTGTTTTGTCTTTTATTCGATTCCCTTCTATTTGGAGTTTTGTTTGTCCCCGCCAAATTTCTAACTGCCATTATAGGTTCCTGTTTTATTCTCACACCCGAAATGTAATTGTTACTTGATCCCCCTGTAGCCGCAGCATTAGTCTTTTGAAACGCCATTGTGGTTAACTTGCTATGTTCAAATTTTATAGCCCTTTCCAGAACCTCTTCCGGGTCTAGAGTCTCGAATGTCAACGTGTCCTGCAAGGTCATGTTTTTCATTTTTGAAATGAACAGGTCTCGGACTATTTCGTTTTCCAATGTTCCCAGTTCTGATCGGGCTGCTTGTGCAGTTAGCGCTGCGTGAAATGATTCCAGAGATTCTCCCGATTCTTGCATTCTCGTAAATAACTTGTATCTTTCGTATGTTACACATTTTACCTTTTGAAACGAGACTTCTGCCAAATCTGTTATTTCCTTGAACGTCATTTTCGATATTTCAGCATGCGGGTTCTTTTGTTGGAATCTTTTCTTTCCCTCTGTACCCAAAGACAAAAATAATCTGGACACCAATTTCTTTTGTACTTCGTTGTAGAAGACATTGTGTCCGACTCGTGGTCCTCTTGTCTTTCTCTCTTCGTTCTCCAATACTACTCTATCCATTGCTAGCTTATCTCTAAGAATCCTAGCGTTCCTCGCATCTTCATTCTCCCCGTCTCTGGGTGTTTCAGGGCGTGGTGGTGGTTCCTCTAATATGTCTTTTGGTTCTTCCAAAATAATCTCTGGGTTCACATTTTCTTTAACCGTAACCGCCATGAGAAATTGTTCGAACCAGATTTTGAATTGCCACGGAGGGTCTAAATTCGCTGACGCCCAAAATACCGGAATTCCCATGTCCGTTCTGTTATCTTGAGCTGCGAATCCTGCTGGCTGCGCCATGTGATATGCGTTGCGATATCGGTTGAAAACAAGTTGTAATTCAATACTGTATTTTTACTATTGAATTTAGGTTTTCTTATTCTTTTGTTTTGTTGTTGTACTGAGAGTTAGATCAATGTTACGAACTCTGATCTCTCGCTTAATCTCAGTGTCATCACTCACGTATGACCTTGAGCATACCATACAGTAATGACTAAGCAGTAGCGGTATGACAACACTGTTGCTTAACTTAATGCTGAATACTAAAAACGAAGAAGGACAAATTTTGAAGAGCTCGGATCATAAAAAGCGGTCTCAAATTAGAAAATTGATTGAGAAATCAGTAATTTTTCCTGTAGTCTATGGGCCATAATCATGCCTCAAATTTTTCGGGCTCAAATGTGCAAAATTCGGGCTCGGAAGCGTTTTGATTCGTAAGGTTTTTGATTCTAGGCGTATCAGCAGATAATTCTCGATCAAACTCGGAACTCGTATTGTCCTAGCGAGTTGTACTCAGAGTCAGAAGTAGCCCAAATGCGTAGTGATGCGAGCAAGTGTCCGTCCTACTTCATGCGCACGGCACAAGAAGTCATGACAGAAACAGAAAATAACTTGAAGGAAATTGCGAACAAATTTGGCAGAAGTTTATCGGTTAGTACACGTTTTCATTTATCCCATAAAAATATATTTACAACTTCTATAGAAATTTCCTGCGTAAAAATTAAAACTTTGTCCCTGAAAAAAAAGACGGAAACGCATAAAAAAAATATGATTATTTTAGACAAACAAGCAATTCGAAGAATGTGCAAGTTTTGAAGAATTAGCAATTATTTGTTCCTTGTTCAAAAATGCGGACGTGCAAAGCCTCAAAGAAGACAGAAGTGAAAATACTGACTCGGACAAAGGAAATCTAATTTTGAGCAGATCTCTGAGACAAATACTCTCGTTTCATCCGAGCACTGACGATTTCCAGACAAAAGAGGTATTGCGTTTTTCAAATAGCGTGAAATGTTTTATGGATTTTTTTATAATTTGGACCAAGCATCGAAAAAATATATCTGAAAATTTTGCTATTGAAAGGTAAGAAAGATCTCATGGTAACAAAATGTGGATCGCTTCAAAATCTTTTACTTCCTTAAGAGTGCAAATTTTTGCACTCCTTATAATAAACACTATTTAAGCACGCTTGAAAAAATTTAAATAGGAAATTTTTAGATATTTTAGAAATTTGAATGTTCTGAAGCTCGCCTTGCATTCAACTACCGCAAGTTAAGATTTTATCTTCACTTTTTCTTCAGAACTTGAGAAATATATTCTGTCTCTCTACGCAATTGGATACATATTGGGAAGAAGCGGCAGCTGAAAACCCTTACATAAAGCGGCAATACTTCATACCAGTTATTGGGTCAAATAGCGAAGACAGAATTGTACGATTTAGTACTGGATTGGCAGTGAACGATGACGAGTGCCGATCTAGATTTGAACCATCGCCAAAAATAAACCAAATGGTAAGAGCAGCTTAAAGTAAACAATAAATACTTTTTATTCAATGTAAATTTACTTTAATTTTAGTTAGAACATCAAATTAAGTTTACAAGTTACCCCAAGTAATTTTGGGTGTTTTTATTTTAGATATATTTAAACATGTGAGGACAAGTGTCTTTTAATCGGGAACTAGCCCTTTTTAAATTCAACAACTTTTCTTTCACGTCTGTAAGAAACGTGAGTTGCTGAAGAGCAAGGGCGGATTTGAGGGGGGGGGGCGCCTTTTCCTCAGAGATTCGACCCTGCCGACCCAAAGGGTCCCCCTTTGTACGATTTTGAGATATCCATTTTTGGCTGACGGACCCTAAACTTTTTCTAAAGGCGCCTTCGGGTCCTTCGCTTTTTATTGATTTGGGGGACCTCGGAAAATGATTTTGGTCGACCTATAAAAAGCCGACAAAATTTTCGAAAACTTTTTGAAAATCCGCCCCCTCGAGAAAATCCTAGATCCGCCCCTGCTGAAAAGTGCAATTATTTGGAAGTGCTGTTCATATTACATGGTTCATACGTTTACATCAATCATAGTAAAGAATACAGTTTTTTTGTCAGATTTGTTTTTTGTTGCAATTTTTGTCGCCTCAATTTCCGTTTCTCTCTTATAAAATGAGATTCTCTTATAAAATCTAGCGCAGCGTGGCATTTGCAAAATGGTTTTTTTTCTAACAAAAACTAAATAAGTTGTCCTTTTTCATGAACATTGCGAGGCCAAACATGTCAAAAAATTTGTACTGCAGAGGGGCAATAAAAGGCTCTCCCTTTCAACCATCTATAAGCAAAAATAATTAAAAAACGCAACCCTTTTTTTAATAACAATTTGGTTGAATGGCTTTTTTAAAACTGATTCCAAACTTCTCTCAGCGTATTAATAATCAATGATTCTCGTATAGTGGGGGAAGACCTGAGACATGCCCTTAAAATGATATGATAAACAAGCGTTTTTTCAAGCTCTTCTACCCAGAACGGACTATTGAAAAGGACCTCATAATATTGCTGTTCCTGAGATCTGAGATGTATTTTCAAACTACCACACAACTCATAATTCACATTCTGAGCACATTGGGGCCTGCAGACAGGTTGAATATCATCTTGACTTCTGGGAGGAAGTTGTACTCATCGATGCGAGTAGTGTTTCATCAGAAGCAGTATGTCCAGAGAGCTCTAGGTGAGTCCCCTACTTCTAGTTCAAATATCAGAATTGAACATGAGGCAACATTAACCAGTCCATAAAAACCCAACAGATTTGCATGTAGCTCTTACCAGGGCACAACAGCAGTTCTTCGCAATGACACTCGTGATTATATCGTTTTAACACTTGGTTAATTGAGAATTAAGGAGGGCCACAGTCAATTTTTTGAATCCCAACTCGTCAACTAGGTAACCCCAAACTCCAGGTAAACACCCCCCCAAAGACTTCAAACGGCGACTAAAACAACTTGCAGAATGTTAATTTTTGATCAGCTGGAAAAAAACATAATTGAACTTACACCATCTTCCACTGGAACCACATTACTAAACAAGGATAGACGGTTGCTGTGCAAGTAGCACAGAATGTTCCGACCACATTCAAATAAATTACAAACAGGATTTTTCATTCATTTTTTTTCAAGTTAGTGTCGTTAAAAGCGCGTGGTGTGACTAGAAAACTATATAAAACACGCAGGAAGTTAATGAATAAGGCATGGTCGACATTAAAAAAAAAGAATTGTATGACAAAAAAGGAGAAAATTTAAAAATAGATTTTCTTGCACAAAAATTTGGAATTTTCTTGAAGACCTTTATTGCCAAGGAAACGCTGAATGAAACTAATTTTCTCAGCCTCAGAAACCTAAACAAAAGTTATATTTTAATATAACGGACGTTTCTCGATCGCTTTACTAATTACGTTTTTAATTACGTTTACTTTTTAGAATCAGCTTCCCAGATTCAATCACACAACTTGACGATATTCCTAGCTGCTGCATTTTTTGAGTTTGATACGAATCGTAGGCTGCAAATTCAGAAATGTGAGCAGCACGTGATCCTCGTGACAGACAGTGACATATCATTTAAGGATTTAGATTACATGAAGAGAACAGTCCCATCGTTGAACATCAGGTAACGTTGTGGATATAGTGAAATATGAGCTGAGTAACATATTCTTATCATTTTTAGATGGGTGTAGTCCTTTTTTACTTTCACGAAGAGATAAAAATTTTTAGAAGGTAGGGGAGGATCTAGGATTCTCTCGAGGGGGGGGGGGGGGATTTTCAAAATTTTTTCGAAATTGTGTCGACATTTTTTTAGGTCGACCAAATTGGATTTTCGAGCTCTCCCGAAGTATTTACCAAAAAGACCCTGGTTTGGCCAAATTTTCTGCGCCGCAGGCAAGTTTTTGAAAAAAGGACAAAAAAGGCGTTTTTAGGCAATTTTTGGGAAATTTCGACCAAAAAATCGCGTTGGTACAGATTGACGCCGAAGGCGCCTTTAGAAAAACTTCAAGATCAGTCAGCCAAAAATGGATATCTTAAAATAGTTCAAAGGGGGAGTTCTGAGTTTTTGTCATGCTCTTCTTATAGGATATCTTCATACCTAATGGGATCACAAAATTCTTTCGAAAATCTTCGGATGATATCTTGCATGACCGGAGGAAAGCATGTTCCAGTGGGCCAGCACATGTTCACCAAACTAGACTCTGTTGTTCTTCAAGGAAGCTTGGTAGCTTCAGTTGAAAGTGAGGACACACACGAAGTCACTTGGTTGGAAGAACGTACCGATTCGTAAGTATGAAAAAAATGTGTTGTTGCTTTGGAGGTTTCATTCGAAGTGTTGAGAAGATTATATTCATAATTTTTTGTCAGATTTCCTTATGGCGTCTTTGGCGCTCAAAGTTCTTCCTGAAAACTCTTTTCCCCTGACGAAATTCTTTTCTCCGAGTTCAAAAAAGCATAATTACAAAAACTATGTTTAGTTTCTGCTTATTATATTACAGGAATTCTGAAAGCTCTCAATTAAATATTTTAGCGTGTCTGCGAACACAATAATCACTAATTGTCTGCGGATGACAATGGGGATGGGTCAAATTACTGTCAAGGGGCAGAGCAACATTGTCGGCGTATTCTGTGCTGACTTGGATGCTACCCAGCTAAATCAGTTTCCTGATGGGCTACCTGTGAGTTCGACTGTAATTTGTTCCGCTGAGGCACTCAGATACGTCACGAAACAATTGAAGATAAACCGAGCTTTTTCTGACAGGAATTCAACAGGGGTATTTGCAAAAAGTTTCAAAAAAAATCTGTCGACAGCAAAAGCAAAAATTTTCAAGCAAAAGCTTTTCCAAAATCTGCTCCAAAAACTATATAGACCAAATTTGTCAAAAATATAGTTGTTGTAGGCAACTTTTCGAAAACATTAGGCTTCAGGGTAATAAAGTATTCTGATACTACGATCTATGTACAACTAATGTGCAATTACTTAAAAGGATAAAACGGATAAAATAGAGTGTGTTAATTTAAAACGTTCTAAAAGGACAACTGAACGAACACTCTACGATCGACCGGTGGTCGTATCGAACTAAGTTAACTGGTATTAATTAAATACCGAAGGTCATTTAAAACAACTAAAAACAAATCACACCATTTCCCACCGGGAAAAAAATAAAATTGCAAATTCACTAACTAATTCTATATACACCCATTTCCCCCTTCAACGTAGGAACAAAATTTTACAAACTGCGCCACAAGAAATATAGTACAGCAAGCAAAATATTATCTACACATGAAGTAGGAAGGTACAAATGTACAGGGTGAACATACAGAATTTACAGTTATACAGAGATTGGGAAAAAAACAAATTAACTAAACTAAAACTAAAAGCACTATTCTACAAGATGTACATTTAATATGTACAACGTTATCTACATTAAAATGATTAATTAAGAGTACTATGAGATGAAATAAAAATGGTTGAGTTTATTTTCTTGAGTTTTGAGAGAATCAGTTAAATTGTTTGTCGATTTCGTCTAATTTAGCTTTTATTTCTGGGTCTATGGTCGAGGATATTTCACTCGAATTCTCTACCTCGACCATTGTGTCAATGGTGGTCGGATGGAATGAAGATTGCGATCCTGAAGAGGTGCTTGTGAAAAGTGTCCTGATAGGTGTATAATATGGTCTGTCCGACAAGCACGATTTCTTTGAAGACCAAGTGAGTGTGGTTTCTGCGACCAGAGATCGTAATGGCGGAGCCTGCGCTAACGGTGTCAACAAGTTCGACGGTGAGGTAATGACGAAAGTTGTTCTGGATTGATTAGTACTGTTCGACTGTAAAGGAAATGTAGGCTGGTCGTCTTTTTCAAGCACTATGTCAATAAAGCGGCGATCTCCAAAAAGTTTAGGGGGACCGACGTTCCTGCGAGGTCAACTGTGTCTTGAATGCGAGTTTGATGGGACCACAGCTTCTGGGGCACTATCTAGCATGATCTGGTGATTCTCCAAACCTTGCATCTCGGCAGAGTCAGGTATTTCTATAAACGCCCGTTGGTCGGTATGAACTGCTAGATTTGGTCTCAATTGTGGAGAATGGGCATCACCTGTAACACTTAACCCTTGATTAGACTCGGGTTGGTGGCTCGGTAGAAGCTTATTATTAGTCACGTCGTCAAAATAATCGTCTATAATCCCGTCTCAAGAGTTTAAATTCAAGGATGACGAAGAACCTGAAGAGATCTGGATGAGGTCTTGGGTTGTCTCGGCGCCTGTAGGTGTATCTGAACTCTGTGTTAATCCGCCCGCTCCTGAGGTGCTCTGCCTTGGCTGAGGTGTGGTCGTCACTAGGGTCTTCTTTGAGGGAGATAGCTTCCTCTTTCCGGCTAAACTCGAATGTGAGTGTGACTTGTGCCCAATGGGTGGTTGATTCACCATGATATTTTTGGGGCCGGGTAGTAGTTTTCTTTAAATGCCAGATCTGATTTACGTAAAATATGACCGTTATCGAGGGTTATTGTGTGGTCTGAGTAGTCGATAACGTCCTTGTTTATTTAATGAAAATAAGTTTTCCCATTTTTCCTGTTGATAGCCCTTCTATATAGTTTACCTCCAGCGACTATTTTCTTCTTTCTGCCCGACCCTCTAGGCTGTTTGTGGCTCTCTGGTGTAGTTGGGCTCGGGATTGTATGGGCTAAAGTAATGTTGTCTTCCATGTCCGATGGATTTTCTTTCTTTTCGCTGGCCCGTCTACTGGAAAGGATTGATTTCCCTTTATCTAAATGGTCATTAAAGGAAATCAGATTTTTCCATCTAGTATAAGCCGTTCCTTTAAAATGTTTTTCGAACGGGATACATCCGATTGAAGCTTGTTTCGAGATTCTCAAGTTCCAGATAATTTTTTCGATCGAAGAATTTAGAGCGGGTTTCGGTAGCTCGAATGACATTGCCAGTAGTTTGGATTTTATCGTATAAACTAATCTTTCCACCAGTCCATTGGATCTATGATCTCCGACTGTACAATAAATGATCTCAATAATGAATTTTTTGAAGAAATTTGTATAATCGTGAGATAAAAAGCAAGACCCATGGTCGACTCTAATCTTTCTTGGAAAGCCGTGATGGTGGCAGAGGTCATTTAAGAAAGAAATTACACTGTTCGCGGACGTGTTGCTTACAATCTTGGCCGATGGAAATTTCGTGAATCGATCGATGCATAGGAGGATGTATTTTTGTTTTCCCCAGAACGCGTCCAACGGTCCTGCAGGTTTATTTCTTCATTAGCAAAGGTCAATGTCGGCAATTTTGCCATATTGTCGGTACCTAGCATTGTTTTGAGGTTCTTATCGGCTTTCAGGCAATGGCTACAGGTTTTCCCATGGTGGTAGATCTCGCGATAGATGTGAGGCCACCACAAATACTCTGCGAGGGACTTCATCTCAATTTGGCCTGGGTGGGTTTCGTGTAGCATGGTGTTGAACGTTCCCCTGATGGTAGCTGGTACGACTAGTTTTTTGTCCAGAAATAATAAGTTATCTTTCATATGAAGGTCTTTAGCAAGAATTTTCATGTAAGCGCCGTGGATGCCCATTGGTCGATTCGTTTTCATTGTCTCGATCAAGTCCCATATCACTTTGTCTTCCCTAAACATAAGTTGAAGAAGTTTCTTTGAGCAGTGGTTTTCGGGGAGTATAGGAGACGATGGTAGTTTTAAATCCGATTTGTACCTCTTGAGTAGATTAGCGTGGTCGTCCGAAAGGTGGTCGTCTTTGAATTTTTGAATTGTTTCTAAGAAGGAAGTGTTAAAGGACTTTGTCCGAAAAGGTGATGCTCTTAAAATTAAATTTCGAATTATCGATAGGTATAATTTGAGGTACAATTTTCCGTTCGAATATGTGAATTATCACAGTTTTTGATTGACCAAGCAATACCAGATATAATAGGGACAATAATTCGGAGTTTGAAATTAGCTAAAGAGCTATTTGGAAAGTTTTGACCAATCACATCGCTTGCATTTTCTACTCCCGACGGGATGTTACTATCAACGAGAGAAGTATTTGCACCGACCTACGGTGTATCTACAGCATTTACATCTACAGAGTTAAAATGTGTTCTATTAAAAAGAATGTAATGAATTATGTCGATTGAGGTGACTACAAATTTTTTGTCATAATAAGAAGTTGGTAGGGCTTTGCCTGAAGGTAATCTAGATAAAAGATCAGTAAAACCCATATCTTTTCCTGGGTTGTGTGACATTTTAAATTTGAAAGGAAGAAGTCTGTTTACCCAGTGGGTCAGTCGGCTGTGCATGGTCTTATTCCAGTGATTTATATAAAGTGCGGAAAGTAGGGCTTTATGGTCGGTTACGATTTGGAATTCTGTCCCGTAGAGATAATTCCTGAATTGTTCAGAAGCCCACACCACGCCCAGTAGTTCTAATTCGTTCGTGGAATACTTCAATTTATGATTATTTAAGAATCTTGAAGCAAAAGCAATTGTTTTCCACTGGTCCCCTTGTAACTTTTCTAAAGTCGTTCCTAGTTCAATGTGCGAAGCTTCCGTTTTCAGCCTAGTTTTCTCTTTTTTATCGAAGTGGCTGTTTTCCGTGATATCTAAAATTTCGGATTTTAGTTTTACGAAGGCTGCAGAGTGAACATTATCCCATTTACAGACAGATTTTTTGTTCAGTAGAGGAAGTAATGGAGAGCTTAGGGTCGATAAATTCGGGACCAATTTCTCATATTGATTTATCGAGCCGAAGAACAATCGCAGTTCCGAAATGTTCTTAGGGATTGGTAATTTCTTGATGGCTTCTGCTTAACCGACCAACGGTCGTACTCCTTCGCCGGAGATTTTGAAGCCTAGCCATTTTATCTCTGATTTGAAAAATGCACACTTCCCCCATTTCACCGCCATATTGTTCTTATCAAGGTTTGTTAAAGTTTTATAAACGATTGCTTTGTGATATTCCAACGATCCCCTCGAAGCTACCAGAATGTCATCTATATAACAGTTTGTGAATGATATGTTCTTTAAAAATGAGTCCATGACACGTTGGAAATCATTGGGCATGTCTACCAATCAATAAAATCCAGTTAAAAATCGATACGTTCCAGCTATTTTGCCCTCTACTATACTAAAGTTACACTGTTTGCTCGTTTGGTCGCATAATTTGACGTGACTGTAAGCGTTTTTAAGATCTAGGTTGCTGAACCAAACTTGTCCGTTGGATTTCTTTGAAATTTGTAGGGCCACATTGTCTATAAGTTCGTGTATATTTGGCATTTGGTACTTATTTTTAAAAATCTGATCGTTTAATAATTTCGAATCTTATGCCATTTTAATTGAACTGTCTTTCTTCCGTGTAATCACAAACGGGCTGATAAAGCAATCTTCATCCCACTTTTCCAGTTTTAGTATGTGACCTTCGGTCTCCATTCTTTTCAGTTCTTCAATTACCCCAGCGAGTAAGTGAAGGGGAACTCTTCTCCCTTTAGCCTGTACTGGTTTAAACGGTGTGTGAAAGTGAGTTACTTTGTGGTCGTTGGGTATTTTCCTAACTCTGGTGAATAATTCTTTGAACTCGCTAAAGATTTTGTCATTAAGAGAATTCGGATTTATACACTTACTCTCAAATAATGATTGGTTGATCATGCAGATTAGTTGGGGGCATTTCTTCTGTGTCACTTCTATACCTAACTTTGGTAGATTGTCATTCCCCAGTATATTTTGTTCATGACCACCTGTTTTGAAGAACGGTGTGTCTTCGCTGATCCACCCATTGGATTGTGTCCTCACGATGATCTTTCCTAACATGTTGATCGTATGGTCCGTAAAGCCACAATACAAGTTTTTAATCCGCTTCTCCACTGGATAAATTTTCAGATTTGGATTTCTTAGTTTGATCTTGTGCAGCACATTTTGTTTTAAAACTTACAGGGCTTGCTGAATCAACTGGTATGTTCATATTTACAATCATCTCCCAACCCAGACCTATGTTCAGCAGTTTCTTAGTTTCGAGTCAGTTTTTGTCATAGATTGTTCTCACGATCAGTATTGAGAAGTCGTCTTCATTGCTTTGCCAGTATTCGTTTCAGGCGTTTATTCACCCCACGAGCTTTCCGGAGAGACGTATGTACAATTCTCAGTATTTACATAATTATCGGTTGCAATATTTGCAGTGGGTCGTTTGTTACGGGAATTACACAATTTGGCGAAGTGTCCTTTTTAATTACAATTTTCCCAGTTATGTCCTTTGCTGGGCATACGTTTAGGTGCCCTGTCGTAAATGGATTCTCCCACATTTCATGCACGTGTTGCTACGTTCTATATTGAGGCTTGGTTCCTTCTTTATCTGATTATGATGGTTGAAAGATTTGAAAATTGTCCCATTGGTCGATGATCGTGCCATATTTGTCAACTTTTGGTGATTAAAATATCCCTTTTCATCAATCAAGGCTTGGTTTAGAGCTTCTGTTGGGCTTATCTTGGCTGAGAGTAGTTTCCTTTGGGTGTCTGTGTTTCTCATGTTGCAAAAGAAAACATCACTTTTCCATTCCGCCTCGTCATTTTCCTTGCACGTACTCGCCAAGTCCGTTGGGTCTCCCCAGAATTGCTCATAAGATTCCCGATCTTTCTGTTTGTGGTTGAGTAGTTTATATCTCTCAAACTTTGTGTTGGGCGGTTTGTTGAATGCTGCATCAAGTAGAGTCCAGAACTCAGTGAAGGAAATTGCTAACATCTTGACCTTCGGGTTCTTTTGCATGAAGACCCTTTTTACTTCGCTCCCTAGAGCTAGGAAAAAAATTGAGCGCAGTTTCTTATCCGCCTCCGTTCGTCTCATTCCATTAAACTTCCTTTTCTCCTCGTTGATCCGCTTTTCTTCGGCGGCTTCGTACTGTTTCATTGCGAAATTATTCCTTGTCTCTCTGCTGGCTCTGTCCGTATCCGATTCGCTTCCTGTAGTTTGTTTTAGAATGGGTATTTGCGTTTCTGGAGCTTCTGGTCCGTGAAGACGTTCTATGTCCAGGTTTTCCTTCGCAATGATCGCCAATTGAAATTGGTCGCTCCATTGGGTCCAGGCATGCGGTGGTTCTAAGGTGTGATTAGGCCAGAAGGGGGGAATTCCACGCACGTTCGAATCATTAGACTGCGCTATAATAAAGTTTTCTGATACTCTGATCTATGTACAACTAATGTACAATAACTTAAAATGATAAAACGGATAAAATAGAGTGTGTTAATTTAAAACGTTCTAAAAGGACAACTGAACGAACACTCTACGATCGACCGGTGGTCGTATCGAACTAAGTGAACTGGTATTAATTAAATACCAAAGGTCATTTAAAACAACTAAAAACAAATCACAACACAAGGCTTTTTTCAATGTTTTTAGCCCAAAAAATAGTTTTGAAGCGACTCTATCAAAGTCTCCCTTTAAAATACACAATTTTTAATTTGGATGGGAGATATCGCAAAATATTTCAATGATGATTTATTACAAACCGTTCCAAACAATGAGCTGTTTCTTAACTTAAACTCCTGCTAAAAAGCAGCTCATTGGTCAGAAACTTTTTGTAATAAATCATTTTCGAATAATTTTTGGGATACTTAGCGATATCTCCCATCCAAATAAAAATATTGCGTGTATTAGCACTGATGTCCGGCTAAGGACTGAACAGGCGGCGAAAACTTTTATTTATATATGTCTGAAAGCAGTGGTGGATTTGAAATAGTTCCCGAAAAATATTTGGCAAAAACAGGTCAAAAAGGCCGTTTTGGGCACTTTTTCACAAATGTTTACCAAAAAATTGCGTTTTTTTTCGGCGCGCGCTCCCCTTAAAAATTAGTTTTTGTTAGCTATAAAAGAGCGCCTTCAGAAAAATTATAGTGATGGTCGGCTGAAAGGAGATATCATAAAACAATATCATAAGGCGTGGCCTTGGTTGGTGAGGGGGTTCAATCCCTGAGAAAAAGAAAGCGTCCGCTTTCATCCCCCATCCTACATCCACCATTGCCTGAAAGTGAATCAATATTATGATTTATCATTAAATTCATTCATCTATGCTGCATAGTTTGAATGACTTCTTGGTGGGGCTAGACTATTTTTTTTATCATCATGTTTGTTTTCATTGGTCTCATTGTTTCTCAAATTCTTTTTCAGCAGTCGTGTACTTGATAAGAACTTCATAAAAATCAATTACTTACAACAAATACTGTGAATGTTAAACTGTAAATTTTGTTGAGCAATCAAGATTTTCTAGCTTGTTGAGCCGCGTTGTTTTTCACACGCGAGGCATGATGGTAAGTATAAATCAAAGTAGTCAACAAGCGTAGGCCTCCCCATCTTCAACGAGTTAATGAATTGTTAAATGTCTCACTTGAAAATGAGCTAAACAACAATTTTATAATGCTTTTCGTGAATAGCATTTCCAGAGTAGAGGTCAATTATGCTTGGTCTGCCCATTTAAAAAGCTAAAAGTATGGTCGAATGAAGTGGAAGTTTTTTTTGAAGCGCTGACAGTTTTTTTTGCGAAACCTATCATTATCACCAAACATAATTTGGGATAAATGATAAAATTATCCCACGTATTGCGAGCTAGAGGCTATACATCGTGGATTGAGGCTCACTGAAATGTGTAATTGTTGGTTGCATTTAAACTTTTAATTTTCAAAAAAAAACAAGTTTATTTTAGTTACAACTGATATTGTAGTTTCATCGTAATATCTCTTGAAATCTGTTAACTTTTCAAAATTTTTATTCTAGACCCTGAATTCGATTAGAGAACAAACAAGTCAACCCCGAATGTGCAGTAGGCTCAAGCTCAACTCATCCGAAAAATGTCAAGCAGACGATAGAAGCTCAGACAATGAATTCTTCCAAGTTATGTCACAACAACTGGTCAGAATATCGAATATTATTTCGGATGAAAACGCTAATGAAACACGCATTCCAGCATATGAAAAATTCCTCTGCCAGAAAAATCTGCATGGAAGCTCCTGTTTTAAGTAAGGATGCGCTCAAATTTTCAATAGAGATTATTTTTCTTAATAACAAATTTCTAAATACGTTTATATATTAAGGACCTCAGGTTCAACGTCACTCGTCGTGGAGCGGAACAAAAACTTCAAATTATCTTCTTTACACCAAACAACGGAGCTTCTTGAACTGGCTTTACCGGTAACTTTCTCTTATCTATTTTATGCTTAAAAACTAGCGCCCCTTGTAAAATGAGACCTTCGTTAAATAGAAGTAAGAAACCATTTAAAATTTTTTAAATACAATATATCACTCGACCCACCTCATGGCTTCGACCCACTCACCAACCAAACGTTCCCCCCTTTGGTATTGTTTTATGACATTCATTTATGGCCTAAATCTCTCGAAATGCGCCACTGAATTTAAAGGGGAGTGCGCGCAAAAAAGATGCAACTTTTTTGGTCAAAACTTTCCAAAAGTGTCCAAAAACGGTAAACTTGACGTGCTTTTTGTTCTTCAAAAAACAGGGTCCTTAGAATGTTCTGGGAGCGCTCACTTTGCTCAAATTATTGAAAATCCGCCCTTCCCCTTTCGAGAAAATTCTAGATCCGCCCCTGAAATTTATCTTTTTTTCAGTTCCTCTGCGGCTTCTCGGAAGTTCCCACTGAGTGGGATAAATTCGACGTTAGACACAAACATGTGAAAAGCCAGTTCCTCACTTTCAAGACGGACCTCATGGACTCAAAGTCTTTTATTCATGGATCGAGTCTAACTCAAATTGATTGTGGCAGCAATGAACTCTTAAAAGGGATCACAACTCCCTCAAATGTGCACTTTCCAAATATGGTAAGATAGTTTTATGGTTCTTTTGAAATGCGATCCACCCCCTTCCCCCGGTCCCTACAGTATCTAGTAAAAAAACGTCCCAGTCCTATAGGAGTTATTCAACGGTAAGCATATGCCAGTTTTGCAACTTGTAACAAAATTTTGTTATTCTACAATAGTGGTATGAAAAAAGTGACAAGATCTGTTTTTAATTCAAAGAGCCAGTAGCGGATTTAGCGGGTAGGGCGGAGCGGACACTCCGCCTCAGAGATTCGGACCCCCTGGTTTGCCAAAAGGGTCCCCTTTTTACTATTTTGAAACCTCCATTTTTGGTTGGCTGATCCTAAAATTTTTCTACATGCGCTTTTGGCGCCAATATATACTAACGTTCAGGGGGAACGCGCCTCAAAAACTGTCTAAAAACTGCCCAAAACTGTTGGTAAAAATTGTCCAAAAAATGCCTTTTTTGGCCTGTTTTTTTTTCTTCTAAAACTCACCTGCGGTGCAAAAAATTTTGCAAACTGTTCTAGTGCTTTCCGAGAGCTTGGAAAATCAATTTAGTCGACCTAAAAAAAGGTCGGCAGTTTTTTTAAAATTTTTGAAAATCCGCTTCCCTCGAGAAAATTCTAGATGCAAAGAGCAGAAGAAAAAAAAACAATTTTCAAACATATTAGAAAAAAAAACTGAAAACGTTTCGAAATTGATATCAAACAGGCTTTTGGGATTATTCTAAGAAGCGAAGAATTTTTAAACTCATTCATTCAATGTTAAAGCTGTTTATAATGCATAAAATTTTTGCTTTGAAGATCGGGAGAAATGGTGATATTAACTTATTAAGTATAATGATGTAATCCCCGCGTTTGAGAACGTCAAAGAGCAAAGAGGCCAGTTAGCTGCCTATGGAGAGGTGTCTCCATGCAAACGAACGAGATTTTTTCTCAAGGTTGGTCTCATAATAGCTGCATATTTCACATTTACTACTTTCAGGTCGACTTCGACTCCAAAATTTCTCCGAGGTACATTGAATTGGTTCTCGCTCCTTCCGAGCCTACTCTGTCGACTAGAAGAACCCTGGAAATGTGGGTGCAGACACTGGATCCCAGGAATGACGTCATCAGTGTATCTAGCACCAAAGAGAAACTTCCCTGGAGATATGCAACACTCAGCCACAAGGCTTCCATCATGGTAATTGAAGTTTTGTTCCAAAAAAAGTATTCAGTTTCGTTGACCACCTTCTTGTAGTAAGAATTTTAATAAAAATTGCCTGATATCGTCATTGTAGTAAGATTTTGAATTATTGCATGTTTTCTTTTTAAGATTTTATCATGTGGTGAATAATTTTTTATAAATTAATAAGTTCATTTAAAAAAATTTATAATAGTTGATGCAATAAAATTTGATATGGTTTGAAACTTGTGAATGGAATATTGATCTTTCAAAAATTTGATACTTATTTTAAAATATGTACTTCTTTGTGATTAGCGTATACTGGCCACTGCATTCGCTCGAAGACAATCGCTCTCTTTCGAAAATCTACAAACGTTTCTGCGTTCTATCTCAAGTGGACAAAACAATTTTGGGACTCAATCAAATACCAGAAAACCCGACTTGAGACTTTTTGTCACGGATATAGAAATCACATCTAGCCAGAAAGAAACCTTGATGGGTAAATTTTTTGCTTTTTAATTAGTTGGCTATATAGACTAAAGAACATGCAAATTATAGTTTATTACCAGTAGCGGATATAGGATTTTCTCAAGGGGAGGGGGGGGGGGCTGCTGATTTTCAAAAAAATTTTGTGGACCTTTTTTTTCTTAGATCGACCAAATTGATTTTCTGAGCGCTCTCCAATCACTTTCAAACCCTATTTTGACAATCTGCGCTGCAGCCAATGGTTCGAAAAAACCCGCCAAAGGGATTTTTTAGGCGCTTTTGGAAAACTGTGACCGAAAATTGCGTTTTTTTTGGTGGACGCTCTCCCCATCAAAATTAGTATATTCTGGCGCCCAAGATGCCCTGAGAAAACTTTTAGGGTCAGTCAGCCAAAAACGGGTATCTCAAATAGTACAAAAGGGGACCATTTGTGTTGACAGGGGGTCGAATCGTAGAAGAGTAGAAGAAAAAACGTCCACCACCCCCTCCCCCTCCCCCCTAAATCCACTTGTGTTTATTACCAAATTCTAATTTAAATTCTGTCGGCCACTCACATTTAGTTTTCCATATATAATGCATCTTTGCTACAAGTTCATTGCGACCGAATTTTTGTTATCGATGGTCAGCTAACAGTAAACATTTGTAAAGCAACCAAGGAGGAAAGAAGTTTTTTTCTTAAACTATAAATGATCGAAGTGAATTTCACTTATTTAACTTTTGTGCCTTTTTTATTTTTTTAAACAAAATTTTTGAGTTTTTCACGTTCAAGTTTTTTGTTTTAGTGGCTTGATTTTCGGCTTTATCTTAATTCCCAATCTAACTCATTTGCTAAAATTACGTTCTCCGATAACAAAAAGCAAATTTGGCAAAAACGTGACTGACTTTTAGTTTCGAACAAAGATTTCTAGCAGTTTCAAAATTCAAATTCAGTCGCTTATGGCTCATAACAAAAGGCAGCCGCTTAATTTCCAAAAGTATTGTGCATTTTATTCGAAAATTGGAACAACAAGATTGCGTTGGAACAACAAGACAGCGGGGCGATGATTTCGTTACTACGTTTGTAAATATTTGAATATCTTTCCCAAAAGGCAACGTTAGGAAAAAAATAGTATATTTTGCACTTAATGAGGCAGCAATCTAAATCAATTGGATGACTTCAATTCAGCTTGAAAATTTTGGCGGAAATTTTATTTTGTAAACCCGCATAAGCTTTTGAAAAAATGCAGGTAATTGTTCCGACTTTTGAAGAAAGTGCGGATTATTTATGCTTGGGGTGGTTTAAATTATTCAGTCAACTTTCGACTTTTCAACTAAATTTTTTTGACAGAGTTTGTGTAAACTATCTGAAAGATATTGTTGTCTGGAGCTGAAAACTAAAAAAAAAAGTTATAATTGTAATCAATTTTCACAAAATTATAACGGTTTGCGTTGGGACTATTTTGACGATTATAATTCAAATGTGGGATAATTAACGCACAATATATAACCGGCCTACCCGGTTCGAAATCCCACCGCTAACTATCAACTTTTCTGCAGCAACCCAGTGATCGCTATTTTAGTGCTGATGCATAATTCCGAGTTTTTTTTTGCATAGCTAAGCCTGCGATATTTCAAGGGTCTTTCAGTAATGTTTCCGTAGAAAATCAGCGCTAAAATTAAAGAAATCTTAACTCACTCTAGTAACTTCAATCAAGAGTGTGAGTTAATAAACCCTATGACGTGATTAAATCTAAGGATTTGTGTGGCAGAGGTAGCATAAATGTGCACTAAGCTGATGGTTGCGTTTTCGAACCCCGCTAGTTCATTATTTTTTGTCTCATTTTGAATTTTTTTCGTTTCAGCGGCAAAAATTAGCCAAATTAGCGATAATCTATTTTGTTTTGTGGCAACAAACATCGCTAATTTATCAATCGCGATCGCTGTTTCTTTTTCACCTTTTGTATCACGAATTTTCAATGTGAACACAATCCTGGCTATAAAGCGTCAACAGCATTTGTAATCCTTCCAAACTGAACTGAGGCAAACAATTTGCTCTAATAGATACTTTAGCTACTACGTGCAAAATGGATCGTTTGATAATTAATTAGCTTGTGGTGGGATAAATTCACGAAATGAAACTTTAAAAATGACTCAATTGTTTCTCATCTTGTTGAACGTTTTAAATACTTTTTTTCTAAGAAAAAGCTTGTGATTGGCATTAAAGGGCAGTCGGAATTTTCAGAGTTTTGCCCTGATATACGAGCGATCTTGTTTTGTTTTAATTTTGGACTCAAAGTATTAATATCTCTATGATGGTTACAACATTTTTTGGTCAAAACTGTTGGCTTAAAATCAAAAATTCTCTAGAGCAAAAACCACGCCGAACACAAAGGCTCAATCTCATCTCTAGAATTTGAAACAAAAACTGTTGAAGTGGCCAAGGATCATTAAACCGATATTTTGTGATCAGTTTTTAAGCCATTTACCTCAATGTTTGTTCCGAGAAACTTTTTGACATCGAGATTTAGACTCCATAGATATGTGGATTGAATTACCATTTCCACCAAGTGGGGACAACAAAAAAATAGTTGTCATTTTTCTCAACGCGTTGCGTAGGCGGCTCATTAACCCGCTCATAGAAAAAAGCTGCTTTCATTGGCTCAAAGTGTGACGCATCAGAGTCCCAGTGACAATTTGGGACCTATGGGAGGGATTCTTTCTTTTGTGCGCTTTATGGGACTTATTCTTTCACTTTTTTCTTTCATTTATTTGCTAAACCTTAGCTAGAAATTTATCTATTTGTTCCAGAGCTATTTGGAGGCCCGCAGACTAGTTTCCTTCTGAGTTTTCACAAATCCGCTCCCGCGACGGCGACGTCAACAATCGAGTCATCATGTGGAAAACCGAATAGCTTCTACATCCAATTCGGAAGTTATGACAATGATCGACCTGATTTGTTCATCCAGAGTTTAGCAGATCTAACCCTCAGGTTAAAAAAATCATACGAGGATTACGGGGGGGGGGGGGGGGGATGGGATGGAGGGGGGTGGGATCAAAGCTTCTTTTCTCCTGAAGAATAGCTCCTCCTCATTTCCCGAGTGTTACCCTTTTGTTAAAGCTGCACGATTTCACTTGTAGACTGATAAACCCGGGGTTCCGGTGCCAAAGATGAAAAATTTTAGCAAGATAAGAACATGGGCACCTTTTTTTGGTTTCTGAACATTTGTTTTCTCTGAATTTCAGGAACCCCGAACTGCTCTCAGTCGTTCCAGATGACCATGAATCAAAGGTTCGATGGGTGCAATTATCGGACTCAGTTTTCCACTCCCGAAATTATGACTCAAATTCACCCGAGACACCATACGCTGTAGGCAACTTGAGCACGGGCACATCTTTAGTGGGTTGTCTGCCGATTATTACGTCATCGGGGGAGCTAATTGCAGAGTCTTGTGTCGAAGTAGACCAAGAAGAGATGATAAGCCAGTTTCCAGATGCAAAACAGGTGACCGAAGCTTTGTCATAGCTTCAATAGCGCCCATCTGCGAACTAATTTTCTGCAAATAATAATTAAAACTTTACTTTTTTATGAAAAAAAATTTGAGAACACAGAGCAAAATGTTTCACAACTTTTGCGATCAAATCTTTGCTTAAAAATAAAAAAAAAATGCCCGTAATATCATGATAGTGTTTTTTCGCCAAAATATCTTTAGGACGTGTAACTTGTTTCTAGCTTATTCCCAAGCTGGAGGCATCACACCCTCACAAACGACCACTCGAACAAATTCGAGATCTCGTCCGCTCTCGGCCAGACTTCCTCACGAATGACTGTCGGCTGACGTCTGGTCGTCTGGGCATGGAAGAGTCCAAAACACACAACATATCCGCTGAACACAACTCGCAGGATTACATAACACAAGCCAGTAAGGAACTATTGTTTTGTCCATTAGATTTTTTTGGTTTCTGTGGATTGCGAAGGGTCTATCAAAGGTGCAAGCCTGTTAAAAGAGATCCCGTTTGTTTATATTTTTACTCACATCATAGGCTGACTTATTTTTGGTTGAACTTATTTTTGGCTGACTTATTTTTGGAAGTTTGCTGAATGTTACAAGAAACGCCACTTTGGCAACTCAAACTCAACGCAAAACAAATCGAAGAAAATTTGCAAAAAAATAGAATGGAAAGGGGTGTCATCATAAAATTGTTTTGTAACCCTCACTTTTAGTCGCTTTTTGTTCAGAAAACCTGCCTCTGGTGATTATTATCTCCTGCGTGCTGACTCTGCTTCTAATGATAGCCTGCATAACTCTATCAGCAATTGCGTACTGCAAAATGAGATCAACTCATCAGCCGACCCATCCGAGGTGAGCAACATCGTGAACTTTCAAGCGAAGAATTATTTTTGAGAAAGTTTTTGTTTAGTTTTATTAATTTGACCAGAAAAGGTAAAAATCATTTTAAATACATAATGTTTTGACAATTGAAACCATTTTAGGAATCCAAATGACATTATCTTCAACCCAGAAAGCATCGGGCACCATCATCATCCCCTCCCCTATTCTCACCCCCTCTCCCTCTCCCACCCACACCACCATATCCAATACAGCCCCACCCGAGGGAGTGTATCCAGTGCCATCCTAGACCCCTTCAGCCCCCATCACCCCCATTACCCCAAATTCTCCTCCCCCTCCCAAGCAAGCACATCGCCCGCTGCCAGCTGCAGTTTATACGCCGAAGTTCCAGCTGATTTTCACCATTATAGTCAGACGAGTAACTCGGCGACTACGCAATCGACTCTCGTGTGACGAATAATTAATGGACACGAATTAAATAATACCCGAACCCCAAAGCAGATTATCAAAACCAAAACCCTAATAAATTCCCAGAACTCTCAATATTTAAAAATCTATTCTTTTAGTTTTGTCAAGAAGCTTTTTGTCTCTTTTTTTAAAGATCATTTATCCACGAGGGATAGGACCAACATACGAGCTGTACAGCTCATCACGGCGAACCGCTGTTGTGCCCCTGCTTAAGAACTACCTGAATTTTTTTTGGTTATTTTTCTGGACTGGATAATGTTGCATCACCCTCAAGCAACGAGCACGGATGGTTTTGGTTTGTTATCTGTTCAGCCCAAATGAGACTAGAGGTGCTTTTAATTTCATTTTTCCTAAGTGAGATTTTTAAAGCTACCGTTTATTTTTGTATTTTCTCTGTAGTTTCAATTGACAATTTTGAATATGAAAATTATGAGAATAAGATAACGCTCGTTTTAAAGACACAGGATTGATCTCATTAAAAGTTAAAACTTTTTAAAGAAAATCCAATTTTAGGAAATCACCATGTTTTTCCAGTTTGCTGATGCGTTATTGAAGCGATATTAAGAAAACGAAAACCACAAAGCGCTGCATCTATTTACTTTTTCATCAAGTTAGTCAGGCAGAATATAAAAAATCAGCAGGCACTTAGTATAGTGATAAGGCTTTCACTAGAATCCCCTTGTGTAATGAATCCCCTGCGATGGAAGTGATTGATAATGTGGGAGGACGCGCTCTAACTTGACCTCCAGCTTCAGGTCTACCACAGCCTGACCGATTTCGACTGCAACAGTGGTACCTCGTGAAAATTTTAGACACAATAAACACGATTTTGAGTCGCAAAAAGGAACTTCGCTCAACAAAATAACTAGAAAATGTGTAGAATGCTAGAAAGTAAATTATGTCAAAGATCAACTGTATAATATCGAAAGGTAGG